ATCAAGCCCCAAATTTCACACTCATAGATATCAGTCCTCTTAATGTCCCAGATTTCTTTCATCAAGATCCATGAATTATTCTCTATGAAATCTGTGAAATTGTCAAAATCTCACACTGTTAAAGAAAGAGGCAAGAAATTCCTGGATCCACTTCTTTCTTCGGTTCCATACCAAAATTGTGCTGTCACTTCTTTGGCCCATGTTCCATCCTGCACCCAATTCCAATAAAATTGTCTCAGTAGTTTTTGTGTAACCCTCCTAACAAACAGAAAAAACATGAGAACATCTCTTCAGCGGAGGTAAAAAACCAACTGAAGACAGAATTCACATTATTTCTGGGTTTTCAAACTTGGAGCCTCGATCAAAACCAGCAACATGACACAGCTACAGCTACATGGGAACTCTTACTGATGCTTGTTGATGAAATGAATCTGTAAATGATTGCATCCATCTCTCTGTCTCTGTTCCAGGAGAACTGTGAAAATATGTTGCTCAAATGTTACATGTTGGAGTTGATAATGGTCCTCAATGAAGAAGAGGTGAAGGACAGTAGAGCAAGTTGCATCCTTGCGTTCAATGACCGTCTCGATTCCAGCTCTGTAAGTCTTGTTTGCAAAATTCTGTTTGGAGAGTCAGTAGATACAAGGAACTGATATAATACTACTCATTTTTTCACAAACACAGATGAAGCTATTGTTAACAGAATCTCCACCTTGTTTTCATGGTTTTTAACATCCTCATAAATCAATTCTGGTGCATTTATTTCTGTGCAGCATGTCAGTGTCATATTTGTATTTTCAATCTTTGGAATGAATGTTTAATTGCACCTCTCTTAATTCTAGGTCGGCTGTCCACCATGTGAAGCCTACTCACTTCAAAATATCACAATATTCCTGGACAGACTAAATAACTTGTTGGAAAAAAAGACTACACAGGGGAATATGTAACATGGTGCAGTTACTGCAAGCTGCATATGTGTATTTGTATATATTGTGTTTTATATGAGAATTGTGTCTTTGTTTTGCATTAAGTTGTACAGAACGACAGAACTACCCTGCAGGTTTTTTTTAACTGTACAGATGAAGACCTGCCGTCAGTACAGTAGCAGCATATACTGTATATACAGAATGCATAGGTTTATTAAGCTCATTGCTCAACACTACTGAATGTAATAATATACAGTATACGTCCAATGAACTCCTGTTTACGCAAGTAAATAGTATCCTACCTATATGGTCTCATTTTATTTCTTTAATCTCTATTTTATTTTACTACCATTGTTAAGATGTGGCTCCGTGCTTGGTTCTCGTTAATGGTTTGTATTTAAATCACACATTTTTGGTCTTGATGACAACTCAAAGCACTTAATTGTACAGTTTTGCCATTTACACACACATTCACACAGGGAATGTATGTGCAGCACTTCCTCTCCATGCATCACTTACTGCTGACACAACTGTCAGAGGCAGTTTCAGTGTGTGGAAGAAGAAACATTCCTTCAGCTCCAAGTACTGTGGTTGGTTCAGATAATTTTATTCGTTGTGCAGTGGAGACAGCGTCACAGCAAGGCAACACAATTCTTTCCACTGGTCAACAGAGAGAGACAGAGAGTCTGTGTGAGGACAAAAGGCCATGGCAACTTAGGAAGTCCATAAGTATCCTATCAGGCAGTAAATCATTTGGTCCGCCTCTTCACCGCCCCCTGCTAATCTCTGTCTGTATGAGGGGGTTCTGCTAAAGTAGATGTTCAGTGGTAAGAGCGGTACCTGATAATTCATTGTTTGTCTCATGCAGACCACAGTGTCATGTGGAGGAAATATCTGAGTGCATTAAGAAAATAACAAGAAAAGATATTTTGTAAAATATTTGAAAAGTGGAGGTGCCGGGGAACCAACCACTGACCTTTTGAATAGTGTATGACCCGCTCTAACCCCTGATCCACAGCTGCCAATGCAAGTCAAAGTTTACCTCCATGTCAGAACCACTCCTGCAGCATATTCCTCTCCTGTGAGGTTGATGAATGTTCACTGTGCTCCAAACATTCCAGTTTCTCAATGTGGAGGTGACTGACTCCACCTCCACAGTGACAGATTTAGAATCCAAGACGATACAACAAGCAGCAGGCTGAGTTTAATGTTTGGAGTTTAAAAATTCCCCATTTTAGTCTTTGATTTCTTGAATATTATGTTGTACCTGCATGCCTGTGGTTCAGGGGTAGAGCGGGTCACTTACTAACCAGAGGGTCTGTGGTCCCATCCCAGTCTCCCCCATTCCAAAGTGTCCATGGGCAAGATGCTCAAGTGATGTGTGAAAGAGAAAGTGCTGCACATAGATGCACTGTATGGTATGTATGGATGGATGGATGATGTATGGATGGATGATCGATTTAAATCAATTAAATGCACAAAGTGAATACAGTGAGTACACAATCACCAACTTCCACATCCAACTATTCTTTTTATTCCATTAAAAATAGACATTTGTGAATGTGTAACAAAACAAATACAGTTTAAACATGCGTTACAGTCCAAGGTATCAACCCTTAGAGTATAAAATCATTTTAAAATACAAAAATAAATAATGGAATTTGTTTAAAGACATGACGGTCTGTAACCCTCGTCCTATTCTATTGCCATCTCTCTTTATGTGGTTTCACTGAGCTGTACCTCAAGAAAAGAAAACATTACGGAAAAAGCTTTAAGTGCAACCAGTGACAGAATGTGACTAATCAACAGGCGACGGTATTCAGCATCTGCTTTGAAATACTGGAGTGTTCATTCAGCACAATGATACATCTACAACAGTACATGGAGAGTTTGGACCTGGATACACGACGCTGCTTCGTAGAGAAGGTCACCGTCTGCTCACTAGAGTCTGAGGCCATAAAAAGTTTCCAGCTCACTTTGGAGAGAAGTGTCCACTCCACCGAAACAGCTGGAAGCCTCACAGAAGTTCAGTCTTCATGTTCTGTCCATTAAAAAGTCTGCAGAGGATAAAGTTTTCACGCGCATACATGCAGGTTGAGCTGCTTTAACTCTCTCTCTCTCACACTCACACACGTTATGTAAAAAAAAAAAAAGGCTCTTAATGCAAGCAACACATACTGTTCTGAGACTAAATCCAGATACATCCACCCTTGAAATACTATAGCAACCAAAAACAAAAGTAGGTACATCACCATGGTAGTAAAAAATAAACACATTTTGGAGTCACTTCGGGTTTCGCAGCTCGTTCCCCTCATGAGTCAACTTTTCCGTACGTCCCCTCCGGTGGTCGGTAGCACTTGGGAAAGGCCATCAGCTGCAACATGTTGAAGGCATATTTCCTGCATCTAATGTTCTTTTGAACATTCTCAATACGACATCCCTCTCTGACGGCCAAATAAAGAGGGTGAGGAGGAGTGAGGGGGAGAACAGAAAGGAAAACAAAAAGTGATGAGTGATGTTTGTAACAGTGCCACAAGCTCTCAATATAAAAAAAACACTGGATTCTTTTCTGAAAACAAGATGTTTCCCAGAAACACAAAACCTTCTGAATGAAAGTGGTTGTGAAAAAAATCAAATTTTTTTGTGAAATGTTGTGGTTGAGAATGTGTTATGTAAAAATGAGCATTAGCGATATCATCACATCTCTGCGGAGACACAAGTTCCTGTAAACACTGTGACTTAACTTTGCAGATCTTGTTTGGTGTGGTTGAGAGGTTCATTTGGTAAAAGCCTGTTGCAGTTGTTCAGGAGAAACAACAACATCCACACTAGGCATTTTTTTCTTGTGCAAATTTAAACTTAGTCTTGATCCTTACGTCTGGGTGGGTCTCAGTTTGCTAGTTTTGTAAAACCTCAGAAAGACCATTAGATCATTTTACATTTAAAAATGAAGTCTTTTAGTTTCACAATTTCATGAGAAAAAAATTACAAGATCGATCAACCATTCATGTCAATCTCCAAAACAACCTTTCAGCCAAGACCTGGCTCATTTATTCAGGTTTCAGTGCCTTCAAACTTCTGCTGATGCTTCAATCGTGTATCAAACCATGATGTGTGTGTTTGAAAGTGAAACGTGGCGTGTGAACATCTGGAGGGTTCGAATTCCACACACAACAGAAGAGTGTAACTGATATGTCCTCAGAAAAGGATGTGAACCTCTGTCTGTTCTTGTGAGGCTGCGTCCCGGGGAGTTTATTGTACAGTCATCAAAATGTAATCAGCTGAAGTGAACTGAATCACCATAAATAGTGCAAAGGCCAAGGCAAACTTAAATAATTTACAGCAATGTCCCTAATAAGTTTGGTGAATGTGTTAGATTTGCTTGTGGTTTATTATTGAACCTGGAGAAGCTGTTTTTTCCGTTTATATGGATCTTGTAATGTTGAACTCCCATCCAGCTGCTGTAGATGTGAGAGTTAAACTCCGGTCGTTTATTTTCTCCACCAAGGAAGTTATGTCATCTGCCTGTTTGTTATCTGCAGCATAACACATTAACTATAGATCTGATTACCATGAAACTTGATGGAAGGATGTGATATGATCCAGGAAGCGACCCATTAAATGTTGTCATGGATCTGTATCAGGGGGCAGATCCAGGATTTTTTTTTTGTTGACATTTTCATTGATTTCTGAGAGAATAGTTCATGGATTTTGAAAAAAAATCCAGTATATTAGAAGAGTGATATTAAAGAGTGTGTAGATTTGGGGCAAATCTGTATCTAGTGGGTTTAAATGTGGTTTCATGAAGGCTTTTTTCAACGGATGCATGGTTACAAATATGGTTAAAAACCTGTAACTTCCACCAATGTGTAGCTGAGAAACAGAATTTGGCCTTAGCTATAAGGCTTGTTTTAATGCAAGGGGACTGTTGGGCCATGGAGTAAATACGTGAGAGCTATTGTAGTTGTTTATTTAGTTTTCAGTTAATGTGAAGGTTAAATGTTAGTCAGACATTAAGAACAAATTATTTATCAGAAAAAAGTCCTGTTTATCAGAAAGAGGAAACATTTAAATTGCCAGTTATGTTATTTAACCATCTGATCAAAATCTATTTGCTCTAAATCCACAGTAACGGCACAGGGACTTGATGCCCTACATCAATAACCCTAACCACCAGCACTCACTGAAGAATAGCCAGCAAACACAGAAAGAAGGAAGTAAGTAAAGATGGCATTGTCATCAATTTATTGATATTTTGCAAGCAGAAAAACAAGACTTAAAATGAGCCACACAACCAGTAGGTGGGAGCTAACAAGCAGCAGGGCAATGGGGTAAAAGTGCCGTGACGCTGGTTTGTTCTCTGTCACGGCGCCAGCCTCAGGGTCCTCCCACTGCCCAATGTCGCCCTGGGTCAGCCGACTGCAGGGTCGCCCATCGAGAGCGAAACAGAACGACCAGAGATAGATCAAAACACAGTGGTGTTAGTATGACGTTGTCCAAGTGGGACCATCGGCCCAATCAGGCGTCCCACTCAGACACAGAGCTATTAGTACACTTTGCCTCAAGATGCCACATTCACAGATGAGCAGGCAATGGAGCAGGAAAGTGAGAAACGGAGGGTGATGACTGGGTGAGGATGGAGAGACGAGGCATGCAGCTTGATTACATTTGAATAGTAAAAGTTTTGTAGCATCCTACTAATACATATTCAGTCTTGAATGGAGGAGCCACATTTGAACAGGTCGTGGTTGAACAGGTGTTTGTGGAATGTGACACTTTCTCGAGTATTGATTTCCCTTTGGACTCAACTTCATTCACACTTTGTTTGGAACAGACCTGATCCAGTGATATTCTATTATTATCAGACATTTCACTGCTTAAAGCCAAACCTCACACTTCAGCAAAGACTACATGCAAGATTAGATGAGATCTCAACAGATGTAGATGTTTGACCTGCAGGCGAACACAAACATTGAATGTGTGGGGAGGTGGTAATGGTGGATGATACCATGGTGCTGTTGATATTGGTGGTGATATCAGCTGGAGGAGAAGGTGAAAACTAAATGACTTTTGCACAAAGGCTGGTGCTGAGAGACTCAGGTTATGGGTGCAAGTTATTTCTGTGTAACGTCTCCTTTCAAGGCTCATAAATCTCCACTGCTACTAAATGGAATTAAATCTGAGGTAACAAAAAATACAAGATATTTTCACTGGTGGCGTCTAAAGATGCAGATGGCTTCAGTTTTGATCTGAGATTTTCAAATATTCACCTGGAATCATTATGTTTCCAGTCTGTTTTCTTTCGAGCCACTTGTTCCGGAGAAAGTAGTTGAACTGTTTGCATAGTAGTTTGTGGATATATCCAGAGTAACTGAGGATACTGAGCATTAAAGTTTATTCTTGAAGTTTCCTTAAGCTCCACTCACTTTTCCTGAGTTTTCAACAAGAGTTTTCTCTTTCCACCAGCTCAAGGAAGAAAAATATGCCTTTAAGTAGTTTGACTGAAGTGACGTATTAAAGTCAAAACAGCTGGGAGTGTCTGGGACAATAACTTGCACCCTGAACAGTTTGACACGATTCTCTCTTACCTCCGCATACAATCCAGAGCACGGATGAAGAAATCCTTGCTGAGCTGGTGTTCATCCCGGAGGAGGGCACACTGCTCAAGTGTGACAGACATCGATGTCCGGTCTTTGGCACTTTTACAGCTGGTGAACCTGATGCCATTTAACCTTCGGCAGATCTGGAGGGAAGAGTAGAATGTGTTCGATGTGCACGTCACCATTAGTGAACAACAGTGACGCCTGCAGTCATCCTCTGCTCATTGTAGGTACTCTTTATGACAAATACAAATTAACCCTTGAATATATTGAATGAAGTCTGAATATATTGAATGAAATCTTGAATGGGTTTGATAACGACATATTTGGAATCATTCATCAATTTTTTCTCAGCTTCTCAGCTTTAAATTTGTATCAGAAATGTTTTCTCCCTAAGCATCAGTTTTTGCCCACAAAAGTCCATATTGGTCAGGCTCTAATTATATTTATTTTTGTAATTATTTATGTATTTAAAGCCTGATGCGTAAGTACTGAGTCTGATGACGTTAGTGATGCTAGCATTAATGTTATGACAGATGCTAGCAGCCATACATCAACCCTCTATTCGCTTTGCAACGTAATGAGCAACCGGTGGAATTGAATGTGATGCAGAGACCATTGTGTAAGATTTTGATGCAGATTAGATGCAAAAGGCAGAAATCCTATTTAACGGTATTTTCTCACATTGCTTTTTGATTGCAGCAGCTGGGTTACCATTTTTATATCTAACTCTTCTTATTGTGATGCTGCTCTATGAGGCAATTCAGATACTGAATGTCAGGTAAAAGATCAGTATCTATACGGCATCACCAGAGTCAATCCACCATGCTCAGACAGTTTCCTTTTCACACACAGCCCATAAGTTCACAGAGCAGTGTTCACAGATTTGTTACCTTGGTTATCCAGAGACACAGACTTATGCAAGTTTAGAGAAAAGAAAAAGAAACAGAAGAAACAGTGCTCACCGATCCAGCAATCCATAGTATCTCCACATTCTTCCTTTTCTTTGTGACTACATTCTGGCCCAGGGTTTCAAGTAATTCCTTAACATCAGTCTGTGTTTGAAAACAAGGTAGACCTGTACATAGAGAACATGACATGACTGGGCCTGTTTCTGGATTTGGTTCAAAATTTAAAACAGTGGATGCAGCTCTGATTTCAAACTCATATCTATTTAGGATCACTGTGTCTCTTTGCACTTACATTCTAGTGGTACCTTTTCACTTAAGGATTTGAAATAGGCTTCTAACATCTCAAAGTTCTTCTGGTTTATTCTTTCCTGTAGGGAGATATCTCCAAACCTGACAGAGGAAATAAGAGCAGTTACCCTCAAGCCTCGTGACCCTCACTGAAAATCATACAACATTTTAGAAGATGAGGAATAAAACTGTTTTGGTGGGATTATATTTGTTATTTGATAAATGCCAGATTATTAAGATTTATCAGAGTGAATGTAATAAAGATTAATATGTAACAGTTCAGGTAATTTGAATATGTCATCACAGGGTTTGAAAGCCTCCAGCAGAGAAGGAAGCTGTTGTGGGCATAAATGCATTTTCTTAATATGTTCACACAAAGAGCGTGTTCCCTTCACTGAGTCAGTACCTCTCTGCTATAGTCTGCTGTTCGTTGATGCCCACGTTAAACAGCACCGGGAACACTTGTAGTGGTTTGCCCTCCTTGATCTCCTCTGGCAACGTCTGGAAAACCAGTCTTGGTAATGGCACTTCGACAGTGAAGTGGTCTCTGAATGCAACAGGAGAAACAAAATGGAAGGTAGAAAGACAGAGAGGGGTTCAACAAAATCTCATTTTACAAATGCTGCAGGTTCTGATGTGTTTTGGAATTTGGCACCAAGGACACGCCAGAACAAGCTGTAAGAGAGAGGCTGATGCTGTGTGAGTGCTAGAGACGGGAAAGTAAGCAAGGGTGACCGAATGCGTGGAAGTTGGCGAGGAAAGAGGAGTGTGTGATCTTCCTGGAGGACACCAGCTCACACCAGGGCCTTCAAGTGAACTATTGCATTATTTAAGGACATGAATGAACCCTGTTTGCCGGTCAGTAACTGACAAGACTTTAAAGCCACAGTGGAGGGTGTCAAAAATTCAAGAAAGAAAAAAATTAGTTAATGTCCTTGCAGCAGGAATCATCAAACGTGAAAAGGTTTTACAGGAAGAGAGAGGAGGGATTATGATATTGTTTTTCTGACATTTATTTGGGAAAATGTCATGAGATGAATTGGAATGTCACTAAAGAGTGCATTCCTCCTTCAAGGCCCAACTGTCCCCTTATCCAACTACATTTAATATCCCTATATCCAGATTTGTATTTGGATCTTCAGCAAAGTTTACTGGGTTCTTCCCTGACCCATAACACATCACAAGGAGAAAAGGAGGGCTGGAGGAAAGCCAGATTTTTTCTTTAGGTTTACGACGATAACTCTCATATACAGTATAAACAGGGAGTTGAATCTGTTAGGCAGAAGAGATTCACATTGGCCTCGGATCTCTCTCCAAGCAGACTGCAGTGCTTGTACTGATGCTGAACTTTTTGTAATAAACCTTTAATACAATCAAGACAGTGTCAGCGGAGATTCCTTCATCATCTTCACATCATCGCTACCCCAATATACAACAAGACTTGGCGTCATGAACAGGATTTGATTATATACAACACTGGGAAAATCCATTTATTTCACGGAGCTTCTAAATGGCTTAGATTTACAATCTGAATACACTTTGAAACGTTCTGCACCTCATGCATATTCCATGAGCCCAATAGATAAACTATCCAAGTGCATAGTGAAGCTTTGCGTGAATTGATGGCCTCTCAGGAATTCCACGGAGATACATAAGAGGCAGAGCAAGAAGGAGTTGATGACTCGCCTCTCCACTTAGAGGCTTTAACAAACCTTCACACAGGGGGCGAGGCCCCATCAGAGGGAAGAGTAATTGAGAGGGAGTGTAAACAGATGTTTGCCAAATGTGATATTGGGCAAGAGGCTGTCAGGGAGTTACATTTCAGAACAAACCCACCTCATGAATGTCTTCCCCACAAGTCATAACTTATATGACTTCTTCCCAACTTTAGTTTAACGTAGTTGAACTTTGACCGTGGCGCACTGTGATAAACACTCAATTGTCCAATAGTAATGAAGCTTGAAGCTAGTTTATGCATATATCATAATAATGAGTGTTAGGGCCACTTAAAGGGCCAGTGTGTAAGATTTGGATGAAAGGATGAAATTGAATGTTAAATAATCCTTGTGATGTTTTCACTAATGTGTTTCATCCATTGTATGAATTGTTGTTTTCTTTACTCTAGAATGGGGCCTTTATATTTAAATACTTTTACATCAAGGCCGTCATGTTGTTTACAGTTGTTCAAACTTTACAAACTAAACAACTTTTGGGTTTTAATGACAACTGAAGGCTTCCACAGGTTCTCTGTCATGTTTGTAAGGGGGGGGTGGGGCATTCAGCTCCTCTGAATGCCCCCCCCCCCCTTAAGGAAGGCTCTAATGCATCTAACGCCTTTCTCTCCCTGTTACCAAACAGATAAGGAGAGCTGGAGGAAAACCAGATGCGTTTTCTTTAGGTTTACGATGATAACTCTCATATATAAACTGGGAGTTGAATCTGTTAGGCAGAACATGAAACTTCACCACTATATGTCACAAAATTCTACACACTGTACCTTTAAAGGGAAAAATAAAGTCACTTAATAAGTCATTAGGCTGGAGGAGTTAAAATGAGGAATATGGAGCATCTTGTTGAGTTATACTTTAGTATAAGTTTCACAAATAATGAAATACTTTATCTTCTATCATCAGCACAACATTGTCAAAAGTATCAGTGGAAAACTATTTGATGAGGAAATGTTAGGTGGTCAACTGCGTAACTTTGGTTACAGTGTGATGCTATTCAGAGATTTCATAGTTTCTCAAGAAACAATGAGATTGGATCAAGATTTTGATCCTGGACTCAGGTTCATTTAATCTCTTTTCTCATTAAATTACGATTTAATCCTCGAAATCTCATTTTAGAGTCAAGTAGGCATGTCAGGTGTATTTTACCGTCAAGTAGCTTGTTGTATGAAGGGGAAATGTGTAAACATATAGCTTAGGCTTATTATGTGTTCCCCCCATAACTTATACAGACCTATTAACGTTTCTTAATGGAAGTAATAAGGTATAGCTTTCATAGATTTCAGTGACATAGTGTCAAAGTTCCTTCTAGGCCTTAAAGCACAAAAGCAAACAGCAAGGGGGATAGTGCCTCACCGTCGGCCACACACTAAAGGCTGGAGGTCACTGAGGTCATCTGTCTTAGCCTCTGTGATCTTGAACACAACTCTTTGCAGGTCTGAGATTCCAACCTCCATGTCCTCCAGCATCCCAATCTCTTCACCTGTGAACAGTTTGACAAAACAAGATGAGTGGTGATTTCATTCCTGATTGTCGAACAGTGTGTTTTTAGCTTCTCAAATTGATGTTGAGAGTTCAACTCAAAATATAAAAATCAAATAGGATTAAACTGAATTATTGATAAAATGTAAAACTGCCCATAATTACTCGTGACTGTGATTGACAGAAACACTGTCAGATCAGTGGTTGGCCAATTAACTTCTTTACTGGCCGCGAGCCTTCAGGCCACGTCGAGCCCCTCGCTCTGCGTGCAGCTGTTAATTTCACTGACCAATCTATTTAACTTCTTGCTGGGCTGCACCATGAAATTTAGCAGAGCAGCATGAGTGAGAACTTTGATCATGATGGTACAGATAACAAGAATCAGTGTACTTGTATCTTACAGGATTTAATTCAACCTCCTCTTACTGTATTGATCTGATAAACATTCATCCTAAAGATACTGAGCTTAACTTTCTCCGGGAACATTAATATTAAGTTATTTTGTCAGTAACTGTGCCAATGACACATAACCTTTCTACAAGTTGGGTTTTGCTTAAGCTTCATCAATCCTCACAATTATCAGGGAGGTTTTCTTCCTCAAAAGCAAAACAAGCTATGTTCTTCAGATTGCCAGTTCTGATTGAACCATAACTCATTTACTCACTATGGGTGCTGAGCAGACTCTCAAACTGAGCTACTAGGCCAACCAGCTGGAGCTGCCTCAGGAAGCCTTTGTCCTCCATTCCTGCATAGAGCCTCATGACGAAACCACAGGCCAAGGCTGCCAGCTGTAAAACAAATAAACACACAGGTAAGACTTCTCCCCAACTTTAGTTTAACATAGTTAAACTTTGACTGTGGCGCACTGTGATAAATACTCAAGTGTCCAATGGTAATGAAGCTTGAAGCTGTCATGTTTGGAAGGGGGTTGGGTGAGATAGGGGCATTCAGCTGCAACATGAAACTTCACCACTATATGTCACAAAATTTTACACACTGTGCCTTTACAGGGAAAAATGCAGGTGCATGCACGCGCACACGAGAGCGCGCGCGCGCGCACACACACACACAACTGAGCCATATCTTATTTAAGTTGTTCTTGGAAAAAACAACTTGACCATGAGTACGCAGAGGTGAGCATGTTGTGACTTTTGTGTTTGTCACTGTGTCAAATTAACAGAACCACTGGAAAATTAATCTAACTTAATTAAAATGTAACAATGCGTGGAGAACCTTCTTCGTATATAGCATTGAGTGGACTTTGGCCCAAACAGGTGATTTGAATAAAAAAACACTTTACATCTCCACTGGCTAAAATGTAAGACGTATGAAGACGCCCTCTTGCCTTAGTGGCTCCTGCTGTGTGTATGTTTCTGTGCTGCCTTGTGGGTGGCTGGTGGGCGTAGTTCCTCAGAGCGACTGCGATAACCTGGCCAGTCTCCCAGGAGAACAGACGATCTGGCTGTGTCTGTTGGATCTGTGTCTCTCTCTGTTCTGCCAGCACTGTGTTTGTATTTGTTGTTATTTTAGTTTCTGCATTACACTCATCTACCTGCTGACAAACTGATTAACACACTTTATAAGAAAGAGCCTCCACCTCTGATGAACTATTACTCATTACTATAGAAACCCTGACTTCCTCTTGTGTTGTCACCTACTGCCTGACTGAAGACCACGTCCCGCCTCTGCTGGAGGAGGAAGCCCTGCGGTATGCTGCAGGCTGCCTCCTGCAGGAGCACGAAAGTCATGGCTCTCTTAGCTTTCTCCGCCACCTCCTTCACACAGTCCTTTAACCTGGTCACCAGAGGACACAGCTGCTCCTTCCAGTCACCTGCGGAGCAACATGGGATATTGAAAGAACAGAGGAGGACATATGTGGGATGGGCATGAGTGCAGAGGTGCAGACAGAGATGGGTTTGTTAGATTACGTGTGTGTGTGCGTGTGCGTGTGTGTGTATGGCCGTTGTTCTCAGGCCAAAAACAACAAACAGTTAATCTGTGAGCTGAAACCAGTTTAGCCATTCATGCCTCCCTGAAAAGGAGAAGTAATTACAGCTGCTGACTTTTGAAACACACACACACACACACACACACACACACACACACACACACACACACACACACAAAACATAACATTAAACAACCTTTTGTTTTTATCACACAACATACTCAACACCTGCTTAGAAATAATATACAGGAATCAGGACACAGCTATACTTTGCTTTCACAGTGTCTCAATTGTATTTCCTGCATTAAGTGGGTTTCTTGCAATCCCTTCAATAGCTCACAGGGGGCAGTGTTGGATAAGTAATGTTGAGTTATTGAATCTTGCCGAAACACTTTTCACTTCTGCTCCCACATAGTGAGGAGTTTTTGAGGGGAGGTGGGGGTCAGTATCGACACGTACAAAGACAGACAGACAGACAGACAGACATAAGAAAGATAGAAGACAGACAGACAGATTCAAGAGAATGTAAAGCACATCAAGGTTGCCCTTGTCTGTCAGAGAAATCATCTCTTATCTCATTTTGCAAATACTGCCTCTGAACGGAGAAGGAGGAAACAGAACTCCAGCTGTCATCTCTTCAGCTGCCCACCTGTCCAAACATCTAAACCCCCACAACGTCTTGTCAGAAAAGCCTGGGCTTCACTGTTCTCCGCCAGGAGATAAAGCCTGTCTCATTATTCTTGTCCATGTTTGTATTTAGACAAGCAGATGACCACTTGCTCTGAGCCTGTTCAGCGTCTTAATAAAGGTGCTCGGGGAGTTGAGCTTATCTTTTAGATGGAACACAGGGCAGACGGCCTTGTCCTCACCTGTCCGCTAACTTGGACAGAAGGACACACGCAGACATACAGTACATACATACACAGGCACAAACTGATAGAAACGGACAAACCCTTACACACATGCAAAGTGCTTTTGCATCTGGCGCACACACACATGCGCCTTCCTCCTTGTCGCCTGGTCAGACTAATGCCGCTGCTGTGTTTGCCAGTTGGCAGCTGGAACAGACTGGGCACTTGTCTGGACACAAGCTGGAGGCAGGATTTCATTGGATGTAAGGGAAGACTGGGCAGCTTGCAGTCAACAGTGAATGGCTCTGCATAACAAATATTGCCTTCATCCATTTTTCTGGCAACAATTTCAGGTTCTCTTCTGCTAATGCTTAAAACAACAGGGGCTAGAGTCTTGTGTCACTCTCTTCAACCGAAACATTAACTGTTCAGTGTTATTTCTCTCACAGTGAGAAATCATATTCTATGAAGTCAAATCAAACCTTTCTTTCTGATGATTTTGTCCAGTGGCTGGTTGCTCATTTCAATACTGACCAACAAACATCCGTGCACTTTAATAACAGAACAGGTATTCTATTGATGGTCATTTACCTGCCAGTGTGCAAACTTCCCTCAGAAGTGTGTGCGTCACACAAACACAATCATCACAGCACTTATTTACCAGAGTTGTGTGAGGTGATGACGTCAGCCAGCTGCTGCTCAGGGACTGGCTCCTGTCTGTTGTTGTCTTCCTCCTGCAGTTTATCCACCATGGCGATGACACAGTTCAGACATTTGGCCACGTTGGCCCACACCCTGTCCTGAAAGAGCAGAGTACACAATCAGCAGTCAGACAGCAGTCACTGAAGAGATGGATCACTCTGTCACACACGGTACATGCTGAGTATTTTTATATGTTCAGTATTTATGTGTTCAAAAACAATGAGGTGTTTCCATTTATAGTCTAAACTGGCTTTGTTCAAAAGGTCAAAAGGAAATTGTTGTCTGAACATTCAGATATTACCCTCAAAGTGTTTGCAGCTTTCTATCTCTTTTCCTGAGCTCCTACTGTTCACCGCAAAACGATGCTTTTCACTTCTCTGTGTGTGTGTACAAATACGTCAATCCTACTGTGTGTATGTGTAAAGTGATGGTTTGCATTTTGGTCTCTGTTGCCTCAGAAAGTCAGATTTGAACATGTTAAAACAGTGAGTAATATTTTGAGGGATAATTAAGCCCCAGCGTGCATGAATCATGATCGGCTGCTGCTGTCAGTGTGGCAGGCACTGTCTCCACATGCAAACAAACCCGTCCTCAACACTTCCATGAAAAGAAGCAGCAGTTTGTCATGATGAAGGGTTTGAACTGAAAAGCTCTCATTAAAATGAATAAAGTTGTGTTTGGCATGTGATATAATTTAGGAAGTAATTGAGATTATTTGCCATAAAAATGGTTTATCTGTATTACAGCTTATTTCCCGTGTGTACTCTGCAGTGGGCACCAGCAGTAAAAATAACAGTTTGTCATTCTGTACTTAAATGAACTCAAACCATAAATAGCTGCAGCTTTGAAAGATTTCTTAATGAGTCAACCTCACCCATTCCTCCTCGTCGTACTCTTTATGGTGCGGAATGGAGTCTTGGTGCTTCAGAGGCAGAGTTCCACCTTCTCCTTTTGTCGTGGTTTGTGATCCGTCCACATTATTACACATCACTGTACTCTCAGTGACGGACGTGGCTGGACTGTGTCCTGGGAGTCCTTGCACCGGGCTCTGATTCTGGTCGCTGCACTGGTGGATGTGACCTTGATGTTGGCCGGCCTGCGCTGGGGTTTGCTTCTGGTTCTTGGAAACGTACCCGGGCTGTGCTGCATGCAGCGCTAGCAGTGCACTCTTGACCAATTCATCCTTAAGTGTGTGAACAAATTGCTCTGTCTGTAGCAAAGAAGGAAAAAAAAAAGATAAATGGGAGACAGATACTGTAAGTTATTGTGGGATAGCACAACAAATGAAAATGTAAGCTGTGGAAAAGCAAAACAGACATGGTGAGAGTGAGACAGAAAATGACTGTCACATCGGTGCGGAGAGTGGGTGTAAGAAAACGCCGGTGGAAGTGAGCGTGGAGGCGAGTAACTATTTACAGAGCAGGTGAACAGAAACAAGGAAAATGAACACTCTCCCTCACCATAAAGTAGCCGCTCTCCATTACAGCAGCACAGCCAGTGAGAAACCAAAACAGCAACAAACAACAAACAATTCAATTACTCCTCATCCTGCCGGCTCCTACACGAGCACACTTCTTTTGATCACAAATTCACCAGCCACTGTATGTTGATGATGATCCCGGCACCAAGGAGCCTCGCCACTGCTGCCGCCACTGCGTAAAAAATGATAAGGGCTCTCAAGAGTAATTGAGTTAGCACTGCAATAAGCAATTCTATTACCACAGCAAAATGCCGTCTAATAAAACGCGTGAACCAAGCCTCCATTAAAACAAACCTATATTTGTCACACAAACGCCTGCCTCCCTGATGCGGACAGAATAGCGGATGAGGATGTTGAGACGATGAGAAGTGTTGGAGGCGGCAAAGTCAGCAAAGTAGATACAGTACGTGGCCAGTCCTGTCCTGGTACAAGAGACACTACATTTCAACTCTACACTTTCTTTGCTCTCCCACTTGCGTGGAAATGCCCCTTTGGGTACGAGTGTTTTGAATTGAATTGAATCCAAATAAAAAATGTTGGTATACGAAACACAATTTTGTGCAGCAGAAAATCATTTTCTTTATGATCATCTTAAGGCCTTATCTTTTTGACCTGTGGTGGGTTTCGGCCTCACTATAAAAACATTAAGGGCCACTTAAAGTGCAGAAAAAAAGCTTTTTGCCATTTCCTTCCACTCTAATGTTCTCCTATAATCAGATTTATACATCAAAGTACATCACTTGTATTAACATATTTGACCAATATTTTTTTTTTCCATTCGATTGAGTTCAGTTCTGATTTCTGATCCTGTAGTTCATTCACATTTTTGACCAAAGTCAAGTGCTACAGCTGTGAAGATCCACAAATTACTGAGTTTAGTTCATCATGAAGTTGCATCTGATTCAAGTTAAAAAACATTATCATCCAAAAACACAGGCATTAATGTCAATTCATCTTGTGTATGGCACACAAAAGAATACAGTTTACACAATACATTACTCTGAATAAACTTTCAGAAAAATATAATATGTTAAAGGATAAAACATTTAGAATTAAGTAAAAGTTGAGCTGTGGTCATTAAAAACTAAATGTTAAATACTAAATATAAAGTTAGCTTAAAGATCCCTTAAGTTCCTTCTCTGTTGCTCTTGAGCTGCATAATGACGGTGTGAAAAGTTTCCATTGCATCATCGGGGGGATATGAAGACTTTTCTGAGCCCTTCAGCGACAAATCTTACGACTTCTGGGACAGAACTCAGTTACTGTCCTGTGTTACGCGTGCAACTTTTCTAAACATCACCCGGTGGAGCTGCATGTGCGAATGCAAATGTGAGAATCAAATTGGACTGTAAAGGACTTTTCTCTGCAAGCTTCCTGTTTCACAGACCAAGTAGTGTCCTTGAGCTGATGTACAAACAGATAAAGGGCCGGGACTGGCAGACACAAGGCAGAATGCAAATACAACAGGATTTTATATGCTGTTTTAAACGTTGCACATTCACCATACACAGCTCAGCTACAAGTCCAAACTATGAGCCTTGGTTTTTTGCATCATTCATAATGCTGGTGTTGCTGATTAGGCTCTGTTTTTACCCCGTCTGTTTTTTCTGTTGGTTTGAACGTTTGATTGTCTGCAAGATTACACAAAACCTGATCATCAAAAACTTGGAATGTTGGTGTATAGGTCAGAGAATAACCCATTACATTTTGGTGCAGATCCAGGTTTTTTGTTAGACTTCATTTTACATTGTCCTTGGTTTTCCCAGGGCCTTGGTAGAGGTATAGGTGCTGTAGAGTGCCACTTTAGTTCAAACAGTTACACTCAGTTCACCGCACAACTTGGTCTAAACATGCTCTGTTCTCATGGTTAAACACCATGGTCATTTCTTTCACATGCTTTCAATAAGAGTTTCCATTCACATGAAGGAATCCATTTTTTAATCATGACTGAGGGCAGATCCACTGATGTGACTGAAAAACCTCTACAATTATCCACATTTACTCTACATCCACACTCATCAGTACCTCTTGTCTCTGGTCCTCACATGTGCTTATGTTTCAAGACCCTTAACATCAATGAGTTCTATTGTTATACACTTCGTGACTGTTCTGTACTTCTATTACGTTGACCACTTTCCATTAGTTTGTCTTTTACTGAGAATACACTGCCCATTTGCTTTGAGAGACACAGCGTTCATCACATGATGCTACCAGTTATTTAAAAAACCAAGACAATCATCAGTCAAAATCCTCTGCTCTTGATTGGACTGTTACCCACTGAACAGGTCATTTGAAGAATGTTTAAGCAGAGAAAGCAGATGACGACTACACTTAAAACACCATTGTAACAAATTCATATCCATTTTAATTGCCTTGCATTGCTACAAATGAGTTCCATTACTGTAAGTCAATGATGTGAGAGCTAAAGTCTATGGATAAGAGGAAATGTAAAATTACATGAGAAAAGGAATTTCTGTCAGGACAATGTTCCGTCATTCGAACACGTATAGAAAGACGTTTTTATATTTTATAAAAGATGAAAAAAAATTCCAAGTGAGCTTTTTTAAAAAAAAGGGCCACACTTGATTGAGCAACCAAAACACTTCAAAATGTAAATTCATATTCAAATTGAACTCTGCTTATCTGACCTCAATGTTAATTTGGAATCTATGAGACCATGTATTATTCATTATCTTCTCCTGAGATGAGTGAAAAAAGACACACAATGTATTTAAAACAATCTGGGTCATATTTGCACTTCTTAACCGCAGGGTCATATCTGACAATGCCTGTGCTCATACGATAACTTTTTATACTGGTGAGCTTATTTCCAGCCAAAATGCTATTCATGCATTTTCGTTGTGGATAAAAGTGAACTGATTACATTAGAAGTCAGGTGTATAAATTAAGTTTCTTGCCTCGGTTATATTCCTAACTATTCAGTCAGAAGGATCTAGAGGGAAGGTGCTTGATGTTCTGTATCCAAACAGATATTGTGTTTAAAGTGAAATATCAGGGAAAACCTTTGGGCAAAAGAGAAAAGCATTGCAGCTTCATTTTCTTATCAAGGCTAAACCAAAGCAACCTTGCCTCTCCAAGTGCAAAAACGACTCCTCGGTGTAGCTCCTCCACACCTACCTGTTTGAGAGTTCTGAAATGCTCTGAAATCTCTTGGGAGAGATTCTGTTGCTAGTTTTTCTTAAACATGTCTGCCGATGTGATCCTGACTGAGCAGAAGTGCAAGTCAGAGAACGCCTCTGTGGACCCTGACTGCAAAAAACACAAGTCGCGTTTGATCTAAAAAACAGGGAAAACAGTAAGAATTTATTCACCCCGAATGTTTCTGTGTGGTTTTATCCTGAGGGATGAACACATTTCAGGGGAGAAAAAAAAACTCATTCTGTAACTTAACAGACGAGGCGAACGGAGGCTGAATGGAGAGAGCATGTTAGAACAGCACTTGGCCGTGATGACACTCACTCACTAATGTGTGTGTGACCTCTGTTCAACGCATCATTCAGCATAATCGTGCATCGGTGATCAAACCGGCAGCTCTTTGCAGGTAACCGATATGTTAGAGAGATATAACTTGTGCTACAATGCAGCTGGAGGGAGGGGAGTTGCGTGCAAATCCCATTTTCACTGTGATTATCATCAGAGAGAAATTATTATTATCATCAGCACAATCATCATCATCATATATAGAGAAGCTACAGCACATCTGTCGTCAGAATGTGCCCATTGAAAGTGTTCTGGAGTGAAATATTGATTGGCCTGGAGAAAGGTGGTCTGAGCAGAGAGGGAGAAAGTCAGAGGCAGCGAGTACTTGAATTGAAAAACCTTCACACAGCAGTGATCCTCTCACAAATGCATCCACCTTTACTTACATGTCTGTAAGATGGATATAAAAACCTGACGATGGGAGTGAGTGTGGAGTTTTCTAGTATGTATAAAAATAGAATGTGGTGAATGCTGTGCAGATCCTTAAAGGAAAAACTCAGAGTAGCCTAAAGGACTGATGTGACTCTCATAATAAACATGTAGATGGATCGTCTTTTAAAACACAAACTACTTGTGTTGTTCATTTATATTTTTAAATGTCACACATGACCGAATTCTACGTAGCCAGAAGACCATAAAGGTCCGCACACCAGCTGATGCTCCCCCAGACTTTTTGATTAAATCCCAGGTGAAGTTTTGGGCAAAGACCCTTTTTCAGATGTCTCATGAAGTCTGGTTGTAGGATCCTCACCTGGTGTGTGGACATTTCTTGTCTTCTGGTGTTTGTCCAGAGCCCAGTTCTCATTGTGTTTGGATGTGTGTGTTTTAAAGTTTATAATACTTTACTTAGCAGCATGTTTGTTTGACTGCAGCGTAATACTGTCAACAAGGTGAAACTATGGATGAAGTCAGTGTATTTGATCTTGTAGTTAGACTTATACAATGTACTTAACTTCACATCATCAGAAGAGCAGATACCAAACAAGCCACAACTTAATGCACAGCACTACACCTCTGCTTGTGTTATTCTACAGGTGTGTACACGTGTGAACAAGTCATCAAGTGTGTCTGTGTGTGTGTTTGCAGACACACAGGTAATTTGTGTGCGTCTATAAAAAAAAAAGATTTCTGTGACAGACGACCAGATGTGCAGGAGGAAATACTGACATAAATCATGAGATGCTGTTGATGATTTGGAGGAATGATGACACTGAACATCAGTTCACCTACGCACATAGAAAAACAGATTATCATCATAGAGCAGCGCTGCTTGTGCTGACCAGGCCAGGGGTTTACTTGGCCGATGTGTGTGAGTCTAATCAACGATGAGAGGAACTGGTGACAGAGTGAATGTACCAATTAAGCGGACTGATTGGGCTGTATTCCACTGTGACAGAAAAAACAATCTCTCCCACAGCAGATTGCAATCTGACAGCACCAGATGTAATTCATTAATTATACTGATAAAAACGCCTCGACGCCATAAACGTCCATGCTGCTATTCACTTTTGTTAGTTTGGGTTTTTATGATGAGTTACGGGTCTTTCCTGAGGTTGTCTGCTTAGTGTGTGTGCAACTGTATCAAAACAACTGCTTGGTTTAAAGTTCTGAAGTTATATAGAGTTTGTTAATGTTGCTGCCTTTAGGGATTTAACCAGAGCTGGTACCAAATCACTCTGACACAGTCGGCAAATTAAAACAATACATCCACCTCAACAGTCCTTGGATTTCAGGTCCACCAGGAAAACTGTTGCTTAAAGGCTGAAATGCAGAACCCATACACAAAAAATGAAGTTGAATATGGGTTTAATTAAAGTTTAACTAAAAGGCTTTTCAGGCGGAGGTATAACCTGTCACTGTTTGATTTTGTGTCCAGGAATCAAAGTGGTGTCTTTCAACAAAGTACAAATAGATGGATAGTTCCGATGGAAAGGAGTAAGGTTGGAGGATTGGGGGCTGCCTCACCTTGTCAGAAAGGTTCTTGAGTACATCCTTTAGTCCAGTTGAAGAGCGCTCCTGGGCAGCCTGGAGGAGCTGGTCCGCTGAGCTTGTGATGAGGGGCTGGAGGAGGCTCATGGTGCTGAGTACCTCCTGAGCTTTGGCTGTGTGCTCTGGTGAGTAGTAGATACACTGGTAGGCAGTGCTGAAGCTGTGAGTCGGGAAAAGAAAAGAAAACATAGATTCAGATTTAACAGACTCCGCTAAGGTTGCACGGTCATGGGCTGGATAAAGGGCTGTATATCACTTTTAAGAGTAGAAATGAAAGTGGCCCAACTGGGACACAGTTGTTTGTAATGGAATTGTAGCTGCATGGATTGAAGCTCTACCCATTTGTTTTGTTTTGCTCAGTGTCCACTTTCTTTAGGCATGTGCCAAAACTAGGAAAGTAGGAATATATTTATTTGATGTCAGACCAGTTACAAGCAACACTGCAGCATCTGGAGGTTCTGAAACAAAAGAATCCAAATTGAGGCGTAATCTATCTCAACTAATAAATCGAATCCAACTAATAATTCCAGAAATCTCTGTCTGTCTGTGACATACCTATCTTGGGAACCTTTGTTTATTGTTGACGGCGTAAGGACGTGCAGGGTTGAGTTTGGTCGACAATCTATATGTTAAATATCGACAAACTCAAAACAAACAGTCTGCACTCTGAAGCTGCGGCTGGGACTCATCAATGTAAATGACGTTGCCGATCATGACCACAGCACAGTCACGACAACAGCAATGACAACTGATTCTCCAGCGGTGAGGCTTCAGGGTTCTGTGAAATGAATCCGAACAAACAGCCCCTTTCAAACAGGCAGGTTTAGAACAGGCACTGCACTAGTTCAAGAATATGTTAATGTGCTCTTACTCTTGCGACAATATAAACAGTGTTAAGACCATGCACCACCTCTATATGAAGAAACTGTTATTGTGAAACAGTAAACATTTAAAAATGGAATTAGTGATATTGAACACATCAAATATATTCTATTACGTTAACTATAAAATTCTATAACTATAATAGAAAATTATTTTTTTCAAAGCCCTCAGTTGTTGTAGAGCAAGTAATGCACTCCTTTTAGTGGCTTTGTGCAGTAGCAGCTCCACACTCCAGCATCAATATTCACAAAATGGTGAATAGACACCTGGCAGGGAGCGACAAGCACAACTCTGTACTTGCATCATACGTACAAATCAGTCTCAATACCTGATTGCATAGAAAAAGAGGCTCTGGGTCTTGAAGAAAGAAACTGAAAAAAACATGTTAATAACAGAAGCAGAAAAGCTGTAAAATCGAGTCTTTTCAAATCAGAAAATCTCTTCTAAAGATGTATTCAAAGGAAAACATAAGGTGTTGAGATTGAGTATTGACGTATGGTGAATAATGGGACTTTCCTGACAAAAAACATTACATTATGGTGCATAACTTTCGTTTCTCTGGGGCTTTGAAAATGTCCAGCAGCAGCGTTTTCCAGGTGCTCTGTGTGAACTGTTAAATTGGTCCTGCAGTCCAACACCAATCCATTATTTTCCCCTTATGAATTTTTAATCCCTTCTTCATTGCAAGGGTGCCATTTAATCTCAGACAAAAAACACCTTTTGTCACTTTCTAGAATCCGGGCAAATCACTCCAATCAAACATTCTCCTCGGGTAAATGTCCAGTGACTTTCAATACGTTTCTGCCATCAGATGTAGCGTGGAGCGCTACATCTAAACCTCTATGTAGCCCAGACCCCAGAGCCAGATCCTAAGGGGTTATTCAAATGAGAGAGAGAGAGACACTGAGATAGAGAGACAGAGGAAGGGAGGGGCACACACAAAAGGCTGGAATTATACAGTACTCTGTAGTGCTCTGAATATTTTGCAGGGAGGGAGAGAAAGAGCTTCTTTTGAAGTCGTCCGGTGGGGAACAGCTCCACCTGATGTATCAATAAGTGTGAAAATCTTAGGCGTAGTTGGTCCCAGCCACTAACTATGTCTTTGACTGGCTAACTTTTAAATCTTGGCCTTGTCATTACACCTAATGAGACCCCTGGAGAACGACCACCCACAAGCTCAGAGCGAATCAAAGGAATCACTAAGTGAGAGGGAGACAGGGGCAAACAGTGCTCGATACGCAACACAGAACACCAACATTTCTGCCTGTTAATCTTCTGTTATTACACCTTCCATAACCATACACCTTCAAATACTAAGAGCAGTCCAAAATTAAATAATCTACAGCAGCGAAGTGAAGTCTTTAATTCCCTGTGAGCTTACATTCGTCTTACTACATTATGCAGAACTAAAGAGAAAGATCCTCCAGGACTGAATGGAGATACTCCAGAAACGAGGCAAAGAAGAAGAAGTTGTTGGAAGAGGGGAATTGCTTCAGCAACTGAGATTCAATAACAACCCTGTTGACTCATAAGAACAAATCCAATCCCATTAGGGAGACTATGCAGGCAATAATGAATGTAGGGACCCGCCACCTGATGCTAGAGGACAGAATTGATCCCCGCTAAGGCTGGCTACGGCGAGGAACTTTAATTGCCTCATCAGCAATGCTGTCAGTCGAAACAGGGTCAACCGAGACGGCCAACCGTGCAAAGGTAAAACAGCACAAATGTGTGAAAAACAAAAGCTGATGTTGCACCCAAGGATCTGCCTGTCATTTCAACCTTGGCACCCCCATCCCGTATGCAAATGGGGAGCGCTGAGTGCCAAGTTTTTAAAAACATGATGCCAATAAAACAAGGGTCTGGACAAAAAATAAAAATGCAGAATATAAAACCAGTACCAACAGTGCTGGAATAAATATCACCTGGAGCTAAAATATTAATGTTTTATTGAGGATGTGAAAGAGAGGAGGTGATTGAAAAGTCAGAAATTGCATCTTCATCTATTAATAAATAAGTAGAAAATCATCCCACCTGTCAAGGTCTAAGACGGACTCACATCACACCTGAATTAGTAAAAAAAACCCTCCTACACTTCTTTACTTAGTTACTGTTGGAAGTTTGAAAGCAGACACTTCAAAGTTGCAATCTGGAAACATTACTTACACACTTTGTTCTCATGCAGTTGCCATTTGATCAGACAATTCTGAGTGAAATATATTGGTTTTGTTTGCCTTGTAGTGTGATATTATCTATAATAATCACAAAGAAAATGGAGAAAACCCTTTGAAAAGACAATAAAGGGTTTAATGGCTCTTTGTACTCACACTGTAAGTTTGCTGACGCAGAGGCTCCTAATAACAGCACTTGTAGTGGCACTGGGAATTCTCTTTTACTGCACCAGGCTTTGCTCTCATTGTGCACAACCAATGTACACAGCATATGAATGTTTACTGATATTCATAATATGAATGTGAGGCAATTTTAAATCTGCGTGTTGTTTGTGAATATTTATGTACTGTGTGTGTCTACAGCCCTAAGAGACTCATAATTTTACATTTCCATAGAATGGAGTAGAAGAGCATTTCAAGTGAATTGCTTTGTTGTTTCCCCCTAAAAGGACAAACTAAGGAACATCACATCAGACGACATTTGTCCTCTGAGAGTTTTAACCATTGATCAGTAATATACAAGCTCAATTTCACTGTCAAATAAAGACCAATGATCCAACATGTATGTATCGGCAAACACACCGCGAGGTGAGCTCTTTTATGTGCCCACAAATTGCTTTTAAGTCGACTCAAGTTAGAGCTACAGTTGATGAAAGAGGCTTGTTTGCAGACTCCATTACAAAGTATATATAAATTATACAGTATATCAGGACTCATTATCCATGTTAATAGTGACCAACATCTGACCACCGCCACCTGCTTCCTCAGTGCACTCTACATGGTTGATATTTTGAAAACACAAAAACTCTTTCTATTCATGTTTTTAGATGAATAGAAAGAGTAAACTGCATACACATCTTATTACACAGACAAAGAAGTTATACTCCGATTATGCTACTAGTCCAGGATGCAGGTCTAGGTGTGTTCAAAGGCCTCAGCTGAGTGGAATCATGACTGGTCATATAAATGTGCTGGTTCAATATAAGAGTGGTGTGACTGAAAATCAACTTATTATAATAACTCCAGTTACTGTATTTGTGGCTCACGTCCAATTTCATTACAGTAATTTTCCCATTTGCACAGACGTGCAAAGGCCTTGGCAGCTGTGACATTTCTGCTGCATGTAAGCTAATTGAAAGCTACTGCTGACAGAAACAATGGAGGCCACTGGATTTTCCTCATGACCAGAAGCTATATTTCAATCTATCTGACCTTAGAGTCATATTTTGGCTCACACTGTATTTTCAGTTGCAACTCTTGTGAGAGAGTATTACTTTCCTTTTAGGTGAAGCTCCTCCAGACTCCATTACATGATGCCAGTACATCATTGTTGGGAGAGCAATGCTTTTAGGAAGAACTGCTGCCAGACTCCAACACACTCACTGATAATGTATGATAATGGATTCTTCTTAATCCCACCTCATTTCTTTTTGCGCCCTGAGTGCATCGTGTGCCTCTGGCCATAAAAACACAGAAGGTGCCCTGCCACTCCCTCTACACGAGATGCACCTGACTGCGCCTTGCACCTGCACTTTGATTCATGCAATTATCACTCTATCACCTTCTTATAATTCAAGTTTCACAGACTGCATCCCCAGAAAAAGGTTCATCCATGTGCACAGCTTAATCAGGTTAATGGAGGAGACTCCAGTAAAACTAGTGCGTCCCGGCTGAACTTTGTCCTAGCTTTTCCTAAATAATCAATAGAAATTGGTTATAACAGTAATGACAGGGAGAAAATTGCTGGGCCCAGCAGCCTAATTAAGCCAACATCTCCAGCGCATGGCTAATTAATAGTGGAGAAGAAATTAATGAAGAGCTTGTGGCCTGCTGCTGACAGCCAGCAGGGGTAAAATGCAGCTACGTCAGCAGAGCGCCCTGCAGCACTGCAGGTGACTGCCAAAGCCTCCTTCTTCATTTAGACAGCACACTCTAATCATAGTTTTCACACCAGGTCAATGCCACACAGACACAGCAAAAATAGGAGATCTGATCTTAAACCAGGTTTTTTAAATGCCAATCGGTATCTTTTGTTGTTGTCTCTTGGTCTTACGTCAGCTCTCAGTAAAACAGCCAATGCTTTCCTCAGTGATTCAGGCACAGGCTAGAAACCCTGATCTGAGACCAGATAAGCCTCAAGGCGGCTGCCAGCATCCCTCTTCATCATCCACAGATCCTGAAGCAGGCTGATTCCAGAGAAGGCAAAAGACTACTAACAAGCTGCTTCCCATTAGCATAGAGTCCCAGCCAGTGCCAATGTTTAGCCCCCAAAAACACACACAGTAGAACTTGGAGAAAGTTATTTTGTTGGACAACATGCTGCGAGTCACATTAAATCTGAACATCGGCCCCGAGAGACTCTATTAAATGTGTGGGATGTAGTTTAAACCACTCTGTGTCCCAGAAATGTGTCATCCGGCGGTCCAGCTTGACCAGGAGGCCTGGCCCAATGACAGTGAGTCCATCCTCTCTGTGCAGAATTCAAAGACACATGCAGAGAGCAACTCTGCTGCACAGCTTCTGCACCATTTAAATACAGCTCCCGTATAACACTATGCGACATTGTGCGAGAAAACTCTACACAAGTCAAAAACATGCTATATCTTCTTCTCACAGACACGTACACACCATCAATTCAGGTAAAAAAAGAGAGATGACATTCAAGTTCCATAAAATCTGTCTCCAAAAAGTGTGTTGCATCGTTCTGCAGATTAGCTGAATAATTCAGCAGAGGCTGTTAATGAAAGATTAGACCACCTCAGCAAATCCACAGCTATGTCTATGGGGTTCAATTAAAAACGGATAAAAATCCAGTGACTTTTAAAACAGCCATTTAAGTGGGACTGTACGCATTAATGAAAGATAAATGCTCTTGCCCTGTGTGTACATGTGCAGGGTATCTGGAAGAATACTAAGTGTAGCTATTGATTAAACTCTTTCCTGGCCCATCCTGAGAGACAAACTACATTGCATACTCTGGCCATTGCCAAGTTTGGCCAATGCAGGTTTTTAATGGATCTGGAAAGAACCCTCCTCCCTCTCTTCCAGTGTCCAGGGAACAAAGATGAATGGCTCTTTTATTGCCCTCCTGGTAACACCTCTGTGCTCAGGTTTGCTTTTTTTCTCCTTCCCCAATCCTTTTCCATCTTCTCTTCGATGAATTAATATCACATTGAACAGCCAACTGTCACATCTTGCCGATTGTTCCCTTTTTAATCAAATGTGATTACAAAAGGTAGCTTCTGAAAGGCGAGGAGGCAAACAGGGAGAAGTATGAGCAGGTGTGTGTGTGTGTGTGTGTGTGTGTGTGTGTGTGTGAGAATCTTTGCATAGCTGAAATAGGCTAACTTGCAGTGCTATTAGGTGACTCTCAGCTGGACCTGGACACATGACTATAGTACTTCACATTCACACATTATGAAAAAGGAAACACCCATCCGGTCCTTCCAGGCTAAATATTTGGTCAAACATTTGGTGCATTTATAATAAAATCAAATTAAACCATGATCTTAATTTAAAGTAAACACACATCTTTATTACAATGGCCACTCTGAATTCACAGAGAAACCCAGTTTATTTCTATTTCTGACGATGACTGACAAACGACTGCATTCCAGGTCAAACATGGATAAGGCTCAGCGCAGACCGCAGTCAGTTAGCCAGGCGGAAAATTGGAAAATTTAAGCTACAGTGAGTGATTAGCTAAGTCAAATATGAAACAAAAAGCTCAGTCTCCCCAGTGAATTCTTTCTGAAGTCTAATCTTTCATTCAAAGAAAATGATTTCACTTCAGTGGACTCTCAAAAAATACGCTAACCTTATCACAGCTCATGCTAGCTGATAAAACTGACCATCTTCGGCAAATTCACTTGTGCACTTTAGCGTAAAAGAAGTCCTGTCATTGTTTTTATTATCAGCACAGGCCCCCAACTATTTTACCATCAATTTATCCATTTTATAGTCACACCTCGGCCCTCTTCATCTCCTCCTCTTTCTTGAGCTGCAAACTCTGTAACTAATTGGATCTGGCATGGTCTGTAATGACTTTGCACTCTATGGGGAGCTTTGGAAAAAAATATCACCCTTCATTTCTTCTGGCATCAGTCAAGTGACCACATACTGAACTCCAGTGACATGTACTTCAATCCTGCATCCAAAATAGGAGAGACAGCAAAACGTACAGAATACAGTTGATCTCAGATTTGATGAAGTCATATGGATGCACTGCTACACTGTGCACACTCTGTTACTGCACGTGTGTGTATACACTGAGCAAGGCCAAGACATATATCACCTTATATTTGTTAGTTTGTAAGTTTTATTTTCTTCAGGTTAATGAACCCCTCTTTAAATATTTACTAATAAGAATAATAGTAATAATAACAGTGATGATATCAATTCATTCATTAACTGTACTTCTTATCCTTTGAGGGTCGCTGGGGGTCACTGTTGATATTGGTCGAGAGGTGGGGGTAGATACTGGACAGGCCCTTTGATTTACTTTTGATTTAGTAGTTAAACAAGAGAAAGATAATCAGTTCATGATCTTATATCTATGTCAAACATTCTTAAAAGCTTTGTTATTAAAAAAGGTTTTAATTAGAGATTTTAAAGACACTAAGGATGTTGCCTTGTGGCCTCAATAACTAACTGTTTCACAGTTTCAGGGCTCAATCAGCAAAGGCTTTGTCACCCTTAGTCAGCAGCTATGATCAGTCAGTAGCCAGCAGAGCTACATTCACTGATCTAAACCAACGCCCAGGCACAGAGGAGGGTAATACGTTCTTGATGTCGTTTGAAATAAGGCCATTTATTGCTTTGAAATTGATGAGTGGAATTTTGAAATCATTGCAGAATGTAACAGGCAACCAGTGCAATTGGTGAGTAAAGGAGTAATGTGCTCATATTTCTTAGTGCCTGTTGCATCCGAACAGCAGCTTATTGCTTATTGTGGATTCATTTGACAGTCACCGATTATAGATTGGTATCCAGGTGCTCTCCACACATCTTTTACATCTAGTTAACCTACAACTTGAGGAGGGAGTAGGAAAAGATTGTCAGGGAAAAGAACCAGAGCAGGAAAACTCAGCAAACCTTTTCCATCATGCCTGTTGCCTCCAGTCAAATTGAGCTGTCAGACGCAGAGGAGTTCATTTCTAAATTCAGCACAGCTCGGCTGTAAGTAACTGTATAGAGCTTGGAAAATCAGGTCCATTGGCCAGGGACAAATTTGTCTGTCACTATCAATTATGGCCAAGTTAAATTCTTTTGTCAATACAAGCCTGTTTCCACCTCAGCATGTGTCCTGTATTAAATCCCCCATTCCTTCTAAACACCATGTGTGCATGCTGTGAAGGTTTGCAAGGTGATTTTCCACCTACCTCTTTTTCTCTGCTTCATATCTGCTTAGCAGACGCTGCAGACCACCACACTTGAAGCCCTGGAAATGGGCTGCGGGGGCACCGACAGTGACAATGTCATAGAATGCATCTGTAAAGACAGAAAATGGGGTTGATGACTTTGTGAATACAGACAAGGATAATTCCACACCTTGAAAACACTGACGACAATGGACGACCTTGAGGTGAGAATAATGTGAAAAAAATACAATTCAAGATTTTCTATTTTAAATAAACTTTATCTCAATTTGCAATTTTGGAAAAAAAGGTTCACTTTCATTCCTTTGAAATGTTTTATATTACCATGATATGTACTAATACTAACAACTATGTTTAATACAATTCAAAACATCTGCTTCACAGAGAGGACACATAAAAACAAGAATACCAAGACAAAGACAAAATAATACAAGATCTAAAATCAAGACATCAAATTAAATAATGTAACATCAATTCAGTTTAAGAAAAGGATAAAAGGAAATCAAGTAAAAGCCCTTCGGTTGGACTAAGTTTTAAAAGAGATTAAATTAAAGTATCGTACAACTATATTTACTATATGTAATTGTTATTAACATATGATATATGATAATGCAGCACTATGTTTGTGTACCATGCTACATGATGTAATTATGAGTTAGCAGTTTTTATCCATCCTGGGAATTTATTTTCTAGAACATGGAGGGTTCTGATTTCTTCTATTATGAATTTGTAACTTTTAGAAAGTGGTTTTATATTGATATGTATGAATATTATTACATTCCTTTATGTAAAAGTATTTTGTGGTTTAGGTTAATGTGTTTAATATATGTCAGGCTGAGTTCCATTCTTAAACACACACTTCTTTTTCTGCAACAGATATACCATCTGAATGCACACTAGAAGCATGACGTTATTCTGCATTTTTTTGTCGTGCATAGTTGTAGTTGATTCATATTGCGCATTTATTGTTTTATTGACAGTCCTCTCTCCAGCCATCTACTGGTCTCAATGCAGCGCTGCCCCCATGTCGAACCACAAGGACGTCCAATGTCACAGCACTTCATCCCATTTTGCACACTGGCATCAAAAGTAAATAAACACTCCACAGACGGTGAGGCAGGCACCGGGGCCGCTTACAATAGGCCTGGTTTTGAATGAGTAATGGATGAAGCTGACAATTTAATCAGGGAAACAGTGAAGGGGGGGTGGCGGTGGACAGGGAAATGTGGGGGTGAAAGTTTTGGTGTGGTTTATTGCCAGGTCAGTTAATGAACACCCCCAGGAAAACAACAATCCACAGCTCTGACCACCAACCAGGAAAACACTGTTGAAAAATTGTTTAAAATAGAAATTAATGACACAACAAAGCTCCAAGTGTTGCCACAGAGACGTGAATGATGTGACCAACAACTTCCAATCCCTTAACAACACAACAATGGACCAAAAGAGGTTTGATGTTGGGGCTTTGCTACTATCCACTGCTCCTTCCATTAATTATCCCTGTGCCTTGCCACGAGGCCCCTTGTCCGCCACACGTTTGGCCCCTGGAGTTTGCAGACGTCCAAGCTCCCTTAATTGCTTCTCCCACAGAAGAAGTGCAGTGGAATACAATGGTGAGTTTCAGGGGATCAAGCACAATGACCAATTTGTGCTTGATTTGCCTGCTCCTTCTCTCACGCCATTCTTTCCTCAATAAATCAGCAACAGAAGCCGTTCTAGTACAGAGAGGACAGTCTTAAAAAGAGGAAGTGAATTGTGGCTGTCAGCAGGACTGGTTATATTTCACACTTAACCCCCTTTAACAATGACAGAACATCATTTTACTTGACCTAAATGACTGCTTTGAGTTCAACTCTGTTGAGCTAAGCTTTTTAGGCTGGATATATTTTGCAGTTTTTGTTTTTTAAGATGCCGTTTCCAGCAGAACAAAGGAAAACTGGGCTCAAAGTGGATTTTTTTTCACCCCTGATATCCTTTACTTGTTGAATGATCAATAGAAAAAATAAAAATGAATGGTTTAGTGTTGTGGAGTGGATTGCATAACTCAAACTCTAGGAAATGCATCACTTCAGAAAATCAAATGATACAATAGACCAATTAACTACGGTTGGAAGCTGAGACTCTTGTTGTATTAAGGAGCTGGATGGTGTTTCCTGGGCCTGACTGATTGCAATCATTTGTTTCATGTGTATTTCAAATCACAGTAAATGTGTTATTCAGCCCATTTTGGAGCAACCTTCTTGTTAGGTGTCATTTAACACCTCTCAGTAAAATGCAGTATAATGAAAAGAATCTGGCATTTTTAGGAGACTGAAATCTTTGAGTTTGTGCAATTTCATCCAAATAAATCTGGATAAAATAGATTTAAATGTGGTTTCCTAAGGGGGGCGGCTTTTTTTCAGTTGCTGCTACCACCAATGTGTAGCATAGAAAATGTGGATTCAGTAAAGAATCAACAGTCTTCTATAGTTGTAGAATGTAAAACAAGAAGGAAGTTTTGCTTAAGCAGTCAGCAGGCAGTGTGTCCTTTAGATGTGTAACTCCAGGTACTGCTGTCGTAGTGTAGTGTACTCACACAGACAGATAAAGTATCACTGCCAGGATCTGAGACGAGGTGTGGACTGGAGCAACAGAGGGTTTATATCATTGTGCCAATCAATTACTTTATAAACTTTTCTTTTCGGCTTGTTCTATCTTGAGGTTTCCTCCTTTTCTGGGTTGACAGTGTAAAACCGTAGCACGACTATATGACGACTTGATTTGATTTATCTCATCTGTCATCCCTGATGTCTTTACTGAGAGAACCAGAGTTTATGTCAACGTTTGTCAGTCTATAACTTCCCATCAATCATCGAGTGCACAGTTGAAATGGAGCCCACTCGCACATGTACTGAGGCAGCAGTTAGTCGCCTTCACACACCAAGACAGTTCCAGGACAATAACAGGCTCTGTTGGCCAGAGAGTGGCAGTGGAGGAGACAGCCTGGTCGTTCTCTCTGGAAAAACGTAAAGGGCTTTCATTAGCGTTTTTACGCCATCTTTCCCAGGGCAAGTAAATTCTCACCTTTCAGCCTGGGTGAGGATGAACCCCCCTGTCTGAGCCTGCTGAGGATCCCTGACAGATGGAGAAGTCAGACATAGAGAGATAACAGTAGGGGTAAAGCACAGCAGCCTCAGCTGACAGAAGTGTGTGTCATATGTTGTGGAAGCTGTTTAGGTTCCAAGTGGACAGACTATTCAGCTCAAACAGTTCAGGTGCTTCTGGAAAAACAAAGTCAATAAGTGTAATAATCAGTCCGCGACGAGGCTAAGGCAGAAGTATAATACCTGTTTTTCTGGGGCACGTCACCCTCATCCTCTGCGTGTGCAAGTTTATTGGGATGAACTCCAGAGATTTCTGGGCTTTGCAGCAGCTTGGCTTGAATGATCGACCTGAAAAAGAAGAGACGTGAGTCAGTCATTTTGTAATGAAACATAACCGCACTGGCAAAGATTTCAAAGGTGGGAACATCCCTATTATAGCCTCTTGTGTCACCGAAAGCTCTCGGCATCTGCTTTATATAGCTTTTCTCTTTATTATCCTGTTAACATGCTTATGAAGAGAGGAACAAAGATACAGAAGAAGATTAACAAACATTAGATTTAAAAAATTGGCTGATGTTCAAATGTTCTCTTTAATTCTCCCATGGAAAAAAAAAAACCCTTGTGAAAATAAATGACTTGAGATCTCTCAAATGAAGAACTCCGTGACAAACGGCCATACATGTTATACAATAGCACCGAATTAAAACCCATTTAAAGGGTGCAGAAGTAGTGTTTTTACTTTATTGCTACAATATTCAAGGTAAACTGTGGAAAAGGAATGTACCAAACTTAATGAGGTTTTAATTGGCCTCCAGTTTGTGGTCGCCTCATAAGTACAAGCTGAATAAAGGGTACAACCATATTTCCATTTAGTAAAACCCAATTTATCCAGCCAAAGAAAGAAGAACTGTAGTAGAAAATATCACAGATTACACCAACACTCTTTAAAACAGGAAACTACAAATTATTCTTTGGTGGAAATTAGAGTTGTGATTGAACCTCCAAGCCATTCGAGTGCGATCATTTAACACACATCTACATGTATCAGGTAGAGAATGTATCAATTAGAGTCGAACAAGAATCTGGAAAGTAGCTCATTTTCAATCAGCTGCTGGTAACATCCACTAATGTGTGGAGTAATCCTTTAAGCGGAGGATTTTATGCCCTCTGCAGCTAAAAAAACATCCAATTAAAATTTTCTGCCAAGCGATACTCTTTGTTTGTGGCTTACAGTTAAGCTCAAAATCACAATCTGACTCTTCATGTTGGCTGCTCCGATCTCAAATATGTAAAATAGGGCTGATGAGCCTCTTTGAGACGAGGCTAAGCTTTCAAAAACAGCCGAGACACAGCGGAAATTCTAAGTGTTAAACGCATAATTCACTTAAATGAAAGTATTCAGAACAGGTACAGAACACCCCAAACTTAGCTTATTACAAAGTTTAATCTGATTTGGCATTTAAACCTTGAATTAAATCCTCTGAAGACACATGAATTTGAATTTCCTCTCAAAGGAATTCAGCTCATGTTGCAAATAAATTCCAAAACCAATAAGAACTGATCCAGTGCATAATTTTATAATTTGCAGCTTGTATGTGTCAAGTCACTGGAGAAATCTAAAGATTTAGGTGAAAGGGAACTATCGGCAGATATTTAATGTTTAATGTTTTCACTAGTTCACTTAAATTGTATGAATTTTTCTTTACCCCAGAAAAGGCCCTTTATATTAAAATACTTTATATTTACATCGAGGGGACCCTCTCTACTGAGGCCGCCATGTTTTTTACATTAGTCCAGACTGGACAAACTAAACACTTTTTGAGTTTTTATGACAACTGAAGCTACCACAGGTTCTTTTACATGTTTGGAAGGGGAGGGTGAGGTGAGGGGTGTTCAGCTGCAACATGCAACTTCAACACTGGATATCACAAAATTCTACACACTGAACCTTTAAATCCATGCTATCCTGAAACAACTACTCACATAAGTGTAATGGAAGTATGTGGATTCATATTTGAGGAGTTGCATTTGTCCTTTATAATGAACTCTATGTCCATCAGAGGGCCAACATACAGAGACAATCAACCAAACCCCAACCTGAAGCTTTGTGGAGTGTGAGAGGCAGCTGCAAAGCAGCTCCATTCTGTAGTTTTGACTCAACTAAACCTTCTAAATATTCTGAATTGTAATGTTATTACCAGCTCATATGTCAAAGATTAATGAGTTGCTGGACAGCTCAGTGTTCACAGCAGCAATCTGACAATAAGACAAAGTAAAAGCCTTTAAGTAGCAGCACAGTTTCTAGCTTGTCCATCTGAAATGTGCTGAATTTAAGAGAGCTAAACACAGACTCTTTCCTCATGGATCATAAAATACTCCAGAGGAAACGAACCAGTGTAGCAGCAGCTCTGTGTTCACACAGAATGAGAAGAGAAAACCTGTTACCTGCCACAGATTTTAATACTGTTTGGCAGGTTGAACAAACATGAAAACAAATCCACTGCACCTCCATTACTGTACATAATGCTGAAACCGCTGTCCCACTCAAGCTGAAATGTGTTACCTCAGAAATGGATAACACTTATGACTCAGCAGGAGCTGACAGCGATGTGGCTTATTATTTTCAAGCACTGAAAATCAATCATGTCTTCTCACTATGGCGGCAACAGATTTGCTGCAATATATTAAAGCACAAATGTAAACAGATGCTGTTTCTAAACAGAATATACAATCTGTTGAGTAACTATAGTGGAGACCTACACACTGTGTGTAACTCTGTACTGTGTTTTCTTCAGTTTGTTAGTGTTGTTCTGTCAATATGGTAGTGTTTGAATTGTGACCTGCCAAGGGACTGTAGATACAAATTAGTTTCAACACAAATTTTATTTAGATATCATACGAATCAAATAGATAAATCCAACAAATAAGCTCCACGTGCAGAAATGAGTATTAGATGCAAACAAACATTAAGACATTTAATAATTCATAGAGTATAAAGTAAACCTTTGTTTGAAGAGCATATCTGGTGTCCACTATATGTTTACAAGTTGACTGCCAAGGCAGAGACATGCAAACTGAGAGAGTCCCTGTGGTGAAGTGATGTAGTCATTTTATCAACAGGAGAAGGAGACTGCAGCCATGCTAGCAGCTCTGTGAGGATGTACTCAGGCAGCTTGGTCCTGAGTTAAATGCTAATATCATGACATGCTGACATGCTCACAGTCACAATGCTAACATACTGCTTGTGCAAATTTTTCACCTTATTAGAAATAAAACCGGTCTCGTCAGTGAACCTCCTCACATTTCTGTGCCCCGGGTTATATTTCGGTCAGTGGCTGAGCCGTCATCCTTGCTCAGTGGGGACTCACCATTGGCCGCAGAGCTCAGGGGACCAGGCTAATTGAGCTAGTGACTGTTGTAGGTTAGATGAATTAACCGTATCAGATCCCCATCTGTCTGCCCAGGTGGGCTGGCTGTGTGACAGAGGGGCTGGGTGCCAGCAGGGCTGACCAACATCTGGCCAGTATCTCTTCTTTTAATCTTTGCCATCATTTCTTTGCTCTAAGCCCCTTTTCTGTGCTCCTTTTGATTCCTTCAGAGGGCCAACAACCAATATCCTATGCTTTTAAAGGCCTTTGCCTGTGTGTCTGAGAACAAGCTGAGAGGGGAAAAACACACAAGATCACACACTGCAACAAGCACCAGTGGAGGCTCGTAGGTGTCAGGTCAGTCAGATCAATGTCGGTCTGTGTAAGCATGTGAAGGATTCCTTCTTCATTTTCCTGTGATGCTGAGAGCACAGCATGCTTTCTGAATCAATCCACACTTAGATATGTTGTATACACAGAGGAGGAGTGGACACATGCTGTGAGTGGTGGGATCAGTCAGAGTGTGGGAATTAGACGAGTCACGTCTGATCCAATTTATTCCTGTTAACTTTGTATTTTTAAGGTATTCTCTTATTACTATTGTCACCTGTAAAATAGCAAATGACAGAGACACAGTACTAAATCTTTATCTGGAGGCTAGAGACTGGAAAGAATACAGAGAAAATAAGAAATGAGCTATCGTGTCCATCTTTCTCACTGTACAATAACTAGCGTTACTGGCGACCACACAGATTTATGACACTGCCCTTATCTACAATATGTAGCTCTGCTGACGTGCCAGTGATACCGGAGGTCCAACAAACACTGTGCTAACGGGATTATGTATGTGTTTTTAATTTGCCGGCTCGTAAACAATGGGTAAAGGGACGATTAATTCATGAACAGTTATTAGAGCATCTAAAATATTCGCTGAGGTCAGCTCGTCATTAAAAATGGATATGGTCTTGAACCTAAACATTGCGACTCTATCTCAACCTCCCAGAGGAGTGCATCTCTCCTTCCTCTTCTTATTCTGCTACCTGCAGCTTCTAAGAGCTGCTGCTGTTTTTGTTCTTGCAAATAGAAGTTAAATTAGATAAACATATGCAAAACTCTGGCTGACCCATGAAATGTGCACAGAATACAGATTCTTCTTGGTGCATCAAAATCTTCCAGACTTCTTCAGTGATACGTGCATTAGAGTCAGCCTCTAATTAACATAAATGCCCAAATAATCCTATTTAAGGACAATCCTCAGAAGACATCCAGCAATTTAGCTCTTACATGGTGGCAGTTGATCGTGTACTTTGATTACAACAAAACTGCTTGAAATACAAAACACCTACTCACATATTCTACCATTACTGACAATAACTCCTTAATTCATTTGTCATTGCTGCTCCCTTCATCTCTATCAGACATGAAACACAAACTGTTTCTTCTAATCACTGTTGTAAATACTGTTATTTTGTTGATGTGTTCAGTTACACGCAGCATCTATTGCACTTCTGTCCATCCTGGGGGAGGGATCCTTCACATGTGGCTCTCTCTGAGGTTTCTATGTTTTTTCCCCTAGTTAATAGGATTTTTTGGTAGTTTTTTCCATTCTCTTGTTGAGGGTTAAGGACGGAGGGTGTCGCACCTTAAATCACAAACTGTGATTTGTGAATATGTGGCTATACAAATAAAATTCGATTGACTGATATCGTTCATATCAGGCATCTGAGCATCACCTTCAATACAAACAAAATGTTGCTGCTGGGATTATTACTCCTTCAAGAAAACAACCACATATAACAGATTCTAGCCTCACTGCACTGGTTTCCTGTTTATGTTCCCATATATGATTTTATTGACTTTTAAAGCTTAACACAGCCAACCCCCAGTATATCAAGAATTTACTAACTCCCTATGTGCCTGTACACCATCTTACATCGGCTGATAGTCGTCTTCTGGTAGTTCCCGGAGCCCAAATGGATAGTAACCATCTTGCTTGTGCAGTATGGACGCAATCAGCAATGCCATATATTGTTACTGCTTTTAAATCCCTTTCTCAAACAGTTTTTAAAATGAAAACTTTCATCTCTATGTGAATTTTAATTTACTTACTTTAATTAAAAAATATTTGTTTTATTGTTTTTTTTTTGGTCCTCTTTCAAGGCACTTTGTAACATTGTTTGGAAATAATGATAGAGACTATTATCATTATTATATATAAACATTTGAAAGTAAGAACATACTTATGCATCCCCTATTTGTACAGTATGTACATACAATAACAGAACAGTGAGGCCTATCTTCATATTTGTCATTATTTGTTTAGTTTGTTATCTTTTCAATCCCTGTTTCCTCATCTCTGCTCATCCACTGCTCTTCACCCTCAGCCCTCCACCTTCTCTAATCATATTAGCCATCAGTAATTCATCTGCAGCAGTTTGCCCACCCTGCTTGTTTATGCCTGTCATCCTGTTAAGGTAATGCAGGACTGGATTAGAGTGGGCAGAGAGCTTCTCCCTTTATTGCAACATCTGGGCCACACAGGGAACTTGTCAGGAACTATAATAACCAACGCCACATTATCCACTTCCCTCTGTATCCCCGCCCCCAGAGCCCCAGCAGTCAGAGCAGGCCGGCTTAACCACTGCCATTATCGCTTATCAGCAAAAGCACCATATCAGCAAAGAAAAAAGCTGAAGAAACAAATATCTCATTATGGGGATGAGAGTAAAATTCATCAGCCAGGAGGAGATTATAACAAAAAAGAAGCTGAAAATGGACAAATGCAGAGAGCTTGATCAGTCTACGGACTTCAATATCTATCCTCCTTTTCCTGTTAAAGACAAATAATGCATCATGAACACCTAACAGCTTCTGCACAATGAAGGTCTGCTACTTTCAGCAGCACCTACTCTACTGTTCATATGAAGTAAGAGCTTTCATCCTGTTTTTCGATATTTAATCCGAACACAACACATACAGCTTTTGCAAATACACTTGATTATCACTAATAATCTGTGGCATTACAATGTGTTCAATGTTTCATTGTTGAATGTCAGGGGCAGATGAGAAAAAGCCTAATAGCTTTCTTTGTTCACCTCTAAACTAACGTTGCAGAATCATTTATTATGCAAAATATTTGCAAAGATATTTGCATAGTAAGTAGAGCAGTGAGTATTTGTAAATGAGATGCAGGAATCATGTTTTTTTTTGCACATGGCAGAGATTTGTACCAGTTTACGTCTGCCCAGCAAACAGTAAATCTAATAAAACACAGAAGGGCACACTGGCACACACATTTCAATTGCACCCGAAGAAACCTGTGTTGCTATGGAAACTCTGATAGCAAGTAGATAAATGAACCAACCTCTCACTAAGTTTTCCATCGACACCAATCACCTGGAATCTATCTCTCAAGTCAAAGTTGTCCTCTCTCTCTTTGCAATTAACTGGATGGGTTTGAGGCCCTCAAAGTGTTTTCATGGTACGATCAGGTTATCAACACGTGTACAGGTCGGCCACATTACAGACATGACAAACCCCAGGTCTTTAATTTCTTCAACTATATTAGTATCATATTATATTATATATTATAAGTATTGCACATAAAAGTACAAGACTCCTCTCACAACTAACAATACTGAAAAAATTAACAGCTCATTTGACTTCTGAAAAGAACAAAGTTGACCAGCTGCTGTACTTTTGCTGTGTCCAAGTACAGCTCTACCCACAATGCTGCATTTCAATTTCCTTTTGATTCTTTGTAGAAATTGAAAAAGTTTTCCTGTACATCCAAGGACAAACCGTGATAAGAAGAAATAATTTACTTTTACTTTAACTGAACCAGTCACATGGCTCATGGTGTGACAAAGTATGACATCACTGAACAGAGACCTTCAAGAAATCTATGTAACCAAGGGCACTGAATAAATCTGTACGTACTTTAACACTATTGTATCAGAATCACAAAAGCTTTAATGATCTGAGAAGGAAATTAACTTTGTTTGCATCGCGCATTTTGCATGTGCAATAATACATGTGCGAAGACATTTCTCATAAATGGACACATCTCATGTCTGTCTCTGTGCCTTTATTTACATTTTCTCAACAACCAATAATCTTGTTGACTGACTTGGAAAGTGTGCAGCTAAAGGGCCTGAGAGAGAGATTCCTCCCTTAATTCCAAAGAAAGCATTGTTAACACGATCACATCAAGCAAAGATCGAACTAGAGACGCAGCCCTTTGAAGATGCCACTGATGACATCATAAAAGGTCACGATTCAGCTTGACGGGCACTTGCACTATAGAGAATGCAACATTAGGAAGTGGATGAGGTCATACCGGTTATCTTGTCCAGTTCAGCCAAAGTCTCCTGGTAGGAGCTGATGATTCCGCCATACCGGGCCATCACCTCCTTCCTTAAGTTGTCCCAATGAGGAGAGAGCTCCCCCAGCTCCCTCAGGTCCTGCACCCTACACATAAACACAGGTTTAGAAGGACGTTCGAGAGATTAACAGATAACTGATCAATAAATTGACAGAATCTGACTTTGCCAGATGTCCCCCCCCATAGCTTCTGTGTTTTTATAGCTCATTAAAAATAGACATTATACATTGTACAACTCAAAATCATAATGCTGTATCTACATATCTGCTGCCTCCATAACTCAAATGTTTCAATGAGGGTATGAACTTAATTGCAAAAAACCCCATACTGACACATTTCTAGGCCTCAGGTTAGTATCTGGTGTCCGCTGGACCACTGTGCCCTATCAAATTCTTCCCCAGCCCCTGCCATTTTTCTCCATCACTTATATGACAAACCCATCTGGTCTTTAGTGGTGACACTGGAGTGATTGGTTGCCTTTCATGGAGCTGTGCCTGCAGCCCAAGGCCAAAATCATCTGAGCTGCTTGGTTAGAAAATATACGAGAGCATGAGTGTGTGTCTGTGTCTGTTTGTGGGGCGAGCGCTGATTTCCTACTTGAAGCACAGCCTCTTTCATTGGCTCATGATTTGCATCTAACAGGCGACATCAAATGGACAGATATCATTCAGAAACCAGTCCTCCAGCTTTTACTTAAAAGTAAATTGTGGTGATATTATAGAAATTCGAGGTTGGAGGAGGTTTAATACACGGTCATGTGCGTTACTTTCATGATAACGAGACCAATTTTCTGTGATTACACCTCATGCATTTTGTATTCTGTGTGCCCTTAAATGAAAGGCTGCATGTATAAATGCTTGTTGCTTCGACCTATTGTTAGGACCAGGCATAATTGCTTGAATGCATAATGTAGTAGTTTATTCTTTGTTGTAGTTCAACCGCTAAAACAACACATTAGCTGGTGATCGTCTCTCCAGACGATTCCTTGGTTTCCTCCAGGTGAGGAAGTTATTTTTAGATTACTTTGAAGTATTTCAATACACAGCAGAGGGTGATAGAAATGATGCCAGATAGATAGAGAAAGAGAGAGAGAGAGAGAGAGAGAAAGGCTAAAATTACAAAAAACAAATATTAGACATAGAAGGACAGTGTTTCTGAAAAACATGGTGTGGTTGAATTATTTAAATGTAATCATCTTTTTAATGCTGTTAGCACCAGAGCTACACAGACATGTCCACTGATATTAGTTTTTTGAAGAAATATCAGTATATGTGGAGCATATTTCAGCTGATGAAGTAGCAGGAAATTTTAGTACAGACATATAAAAGTAGATTAAAGGTCATTCATGAACAATGTGCGCAGTAGTCTACCCTCCAGAGATTACTGATAAGCTGTTTTTTTTAAACTCAGCAAATAAGAAGGTTGTGTTTACGTCACTGTTTGTTTGTCTGTCTGTCAGTTAGCAGGATTACACAAAGCAGATCCAAATAGAAAACTGGATCTGGTGAATTTGAACGTGGTTCGAATTATCTGGCTTTGTTAGGGGGTGTGCCAGACTAGCGGCAAGATGTGCATTAAGCAAATGTTGGTAATCAGGGCCTCTGCTTCAGCAGCCTCAGGATCAGTGTTTTCTGTTGAGCAGAGGAGCTCAGAAATCTCATGGAGGAATATTTCAAACCCTGAAATCAAAGTAAAATTTACTGTATGGGTGAACGCCCCTGGAGTTAAGTGAGAGAAAATAAACATTTGCAAATGACCAATAATCCACTTTTCCTGCCTGCATGGCAGATAGGACATTAGTGGGTTGAATAACAAATAGCTATCGTTTGTCTCTTTGTGTTCTGAAAAAAACCTGCCAATGGAAATAACCTCTCGGGGCGCCACATGCTGACAAGTTCTGGAGGTGGTGGAAAGTAAGTGATGCTTGTGGCATTGGAAGATAGATGGCTCGCTCACAAGGTAAGTACATCTGATTATAACACAGTAACACGCTTGCAGCACTGTGGGCACCACAGGAATACTTTTCAGTTCAGAGATCAGATTGTTTGAATAAAAGTATTATTTATAGTTTTGGCTTGTGCTGGGCACTATTTTTGATTGTGAATGGATTTAGACTGAGACCAGGAGTGAATATACATGTATGTTTATTCAAAAAGGTGTTGGGTGCAAAATTCCCAGGGATAAGATTTGCATATTTGCAAATGAGTTGCTCAGAGATACTTATTTTGAAATGAAAATAAAAAAAATTGAGATATCGGAAAAAAGAACCAGATGAAAAGAAAACAAACACTGCTCTTCTATTGATGGATTCTAATCGAAGCCTGGGGCTGAACACTTCAATTGTTTTGGAACTCTTGTGTGTCAAGACAACAGCACAGAGGTAGATTTCCCAGCTGTTGAGGCCTGAGCAGGACCACTCCACATTACCTGGCTTCAATCAAATATATTGTTTCTGACCACTTAGGTTGAAGTGGTCCCTAATAACATAAATGGGCCATTTTAACCAATCAAGAGGCAATGTTCTCAGAGTTTCAGGAAATGCTACACTGGTACAATGCTCTTTAACAGATTGCAGTCATTCACCATAATCGAAACCCTCTGACTACACCAGCCACTGCTCCTCAGTGTCTGATCTGGTATTGTGTGTCTGGAAGTCTGGAGCTGAGGTCAGGGTGGATGATCCCGTTGTAAATAATAGAGTGGATAAAATAGAAGATAAAACACATCTACTTGCTAAATGAGGGTGATAAGGCAGAGGGATGGCAGATGCAGAGATATAGCATCACCTCTTTAATCACAATGCTATTGTCTGAAAAGAGTAAAGGTGTGATTGAGGAAAAGTATGATAAGAATATGTATGGGCTGATTAAGTGTATGCATGTAAGAAAGGGCCAGAATGTCAATAAGGTTTTTTGGTGTTAGATCCAACAACAGACATTCAGAGAAAAAATGTGCTCATATAAACAGTTTGTAGAATAAATATATTATTTATATATCGACAGAAGCAAAAAAACTCTGTGGATATAATTTTATAAAAAGGAATGAAATCATTTTTACGTGTTTAAATGACCTGTTTGGAGCCAATGTGGCTCTGCTGAATCTACCGTTCTCTCAAATTGGGGAATACATTTGGTTTGGATTCATATTTTAAAACATCCCCTCCAGGTACAAATAAATATGTTTATCTAACTAATTAAAATTCTTAAAATTACATCTACATCTTCTTCCTCAAGTTCAGAATCTATGAGTATGCAAGACGACGCATCGCACTCATGAACGTTTTGCGTTGGGCGATGACTGGCCTCTAGCCTAGGCTATAAAGATTACGCTGGCACACACATTAATCTTAGATCTGAGTTAAGTGGAGACAGATGAATGTGAAAACAGTCTTCGAATGTCAAACCCTCCACATACATCAATCTGCACTGTGAGGGTCAAACATCCAAGTTAATGCTGAAGGAGGTTTATCCCCTTTACTCTGATTAAATGTCTTCTGTTCTGTTCTATGGATGATTATTACATCTGTTAAACTGCTTTGTTGGCATCATAGATAACAGTGGCACAAAGATAATTAGGTTTACATTTTTATAAATGGTGTTATTATATGCATGGGTTTTTATTGTGACTTGTAACAGATGTGTCTTGATCAAAACACAGCAGTGTCAACAGTGTGGATGTGATTTATAAGTGACTGCAAGCATTTGGAATAACGCTGGAAGGGCACTCTGAGCCCATACTTCCAACAAGGTGGTATAAACCCTGCTTCCACCACTCTATCAATTTTAAAGGTATACCAGTAACTATAAGACATGTCAAAACTACTTGTACTTTACTGAATCTTCATTATCTTCTACACATTGGTAGTTGCAGCTTAATTTGTTATCGAACAGTAACTGAGTAAAAATCACCTCTGTAAAATACTTATTTTCATTCACAAAATCTGCATCATCTGGATCCACACCAAATTTAGCCTGTTCAAAGTTATTAGTCCTTTATAAATTTAGGGGTTTTCATCAATACTGTTTCTTGAGAAATTCCCCAAAATACTGACATTCATCCAATCACAAAATATTCGTCCCATTGACTGTATATAAAGATTGACAACATAACAGCTAAAGTGTCTTGAAGTTTGTGGATGGGATATGAGCCAAAGTAAAAAGTCAAAGTACCAAATATGGTTTCTGTCATTTCCTGTTGTTGTTATCACACTGATGTATGTTCTCAGTGCTCAAGTTTAGTTTAAATTATTCATTTGATGCTGGTGACATGTCATGACTGACAGCTGAGGATCTCGATAGTTTGCTTCATCCCCTGATCGCTACTGCGCAGACTGGCTCCAAATGTGCAAGATGGCAAAGCTTGGGTCTGAGATATTTTGGCTTCATTTCTGGGTAGTGGCAGGAAGTAGAGACACGTCATCTATCTTTATTTACAGTCTAAGGATTCGCCCCCTTAATCGGATTCGCTCCAAAAGTTAATGGGTTAGTCCTTGTCCCATACTTCACAATGAAATCGGTTCATTAGTTTTTGCATAATCCTGCTAAAAGACTGGAAAATAGACACACAAACAGACAAACAAAAATGACATCATAACCTCCTTGGTAGAGGTAAAAAAATTAGGATTTGATATGGAGACGTACAGAAACTGCTGCAGATTAGTCATTTATTTAGACTTAAACCATGATGCAGATATTAGCAACTAAAACCAAGAAAAACCTTTAGGAAAGCAATGTGTTTAAATGTCCTCGTGCAGATGACAGAGTAGAATAGAGAGTATAGAATACATTTCCCAAAGAGCAAAGACCTGTCATGTGGGGGCACCTTTATTTCATGGTGCGTTATAGTGCCTCTTCAATTTAATCACAGAGGGCTTTGTGTGTGGGGTCAATAAAACCTGCGTGAGAGGACTGAAGAACAAACCTTTCTTTCACAACACATGCAGCACTTTCTAACAAGCTCAGTCATTTACGTGATCCTGAACGCACAGATCCAAACAGTGACACCTGATGTCGAAATACCACCTATAAGACACTGAATCAAAGCTGAGAAGAAGGGGCCATGATTTTCTCACAGTCACTTTACTATATATGCATTTATTATCTGTATATGCACACACATACACACACAAACCCCCCGCACTGTGTCTGTACTGGAGGTACAGACACCTCTATGTTCGCAGAGCTAGATTAAAACATGGCTATATACACGAAAGTGATCAAACAGAAGGAAGAGACATATGAGATTATCATCGAGGAATCAAACAAAGCCACCCACCATCCACCGCTGCTGCACTTACAACTTTACAACACTTACTGAATCATTCAAAACACAGAGTTAGCATCAGTGCAGAGCTGGATGACAGAATAGGCTAAACGAAGATGAACCATGGAGAAAGACAACACTTAAAGAGGATTATAGAAGAGGTGCTTAAGCAACCGAGCTGGATACACGCAACACATGCCTGTTAATAAACAAACGTAGTATAAGGTAGTCATGGTTTGGGGCCTGCTGAGAGCTCACGAGCTGCATTATACAGATAAGACTTTTAATAAATATTCTATAATTGTCTTCTAAATTTAGCTATGATTGAAATGATCGGTTTGCAGAGCTGATCATCTTTTATTCAAACAGAAAGTCGGGTGAGAGATACTGAGAGAGGACGTGTGGAGAAGAAGGTGCAAGGATGTGAACGGATTCATCTGTTTGTCTGGTCCATTGATCAATAATGACCCAGTGATTGTTTCTATGTGTATGTGTGCAGTACAGGATGTGCTTTATTACACATTTAAAGCACGGTTCCGTAAACTCAGTGTAATACTTCAGGTGCATACAATCGTGATCATCAACATGTCTCCTCCAGTAACTTCACCCCTAAGTTTGGGCTGAAGTGTCTCTCCCTGGAAATCTAGAAATGCCTTTAGAACGCAGTGCTAGGAGGCGGGACTAGGACACAGGCACACCCCCCTAGCATAAGCTAGTTTATCTAGGTTGTGTAGCTAAAAGCAATGACTCCAGGGCATATGGCCTCCAGAATTTCCTGACAGCTAAGACCATGGTTGTCTCTGTACAGTTGAGGGGCAGCAGAGGATGAGGGACAATGTCGTGGTCTAGGGACTTAGTTTCAGCATAGATTTAAAAATGAACCCAGCATTGTAGATCCCCACTCACATTGCAAAAACCAGCCACCTATGATTAAAGGGTGTTAACTTTTTTTCAAACCATTATAAATGTCATTATGTAGAGATGGAGAAATGTAGAAACAGTTGACTCTAGAAAAGCATTTGGCCCAGCAAGGTCCCAGAGGGTTTGAAACACGGGGTGTCGTTATGAGCCATGTTCAACACATAAATGGCAATTCTTTATAATTTGGGAAATAAATGTGATATTAAAAACCATCATTAATGTGTTTCATCACAGTCACATTATTTAGATTACAGCTCAAAAACTAATTTAAGTGTGCAGCATCATTTTCATCTGCATCTTTAATTTTTTGTGCCTATTTCTTGTATTAAAATGAGCAATGAAGAAATCATTTGAAGCTGTGTGTGTTTTTGTGTGTGTGGATGCATTTGTGTGTATGTGTGTTATATATGAAAAGGGGTTGCTAGGGACAACAGGCCATTTGAGAAATAATCGGTCTTGACAAACATTAGTGGAGCCTGAGGGAAGGGACTCTTTGATCTACTTACAAGTGCACACTCGGAGACTGGTGATCCACCATCACCCTCTGTCCTTGTCCTAACCTGCCCTCATTCTATTACAGTATTTACTGGACTGGACTTAAATTGCAGTAATATGCCTGATTTCCATAATATTTCTCATCTATTCAAAATTAGACTTTTCATTAGTTAAATTACTACAAAATGGAATCGGAAATGCTCTTGACATTTGATTAGTTTTAAAATGTTGGAGGGAGATATTAAAACTAGAAGACATTGCGTTTTAAATTAAATGAAGTGACGGAGAGTAACTAACTTTTTCTGTTTTCTGGAAAACTTCTGGTACTATGCACAGCATGAAGTCAGAACTTAGTTACTCATGACATGATAAAAGACCAATCAAACATAAATTTCTTCATCAAAACACCAAGTTTGTTTGAAAACAGTAAATAACCCATGAAATGTTTGGGGCCCTGAGAAGTTACAGAGCCATAGTATCATCTCACACTTGCAGTTATTACCAGTTCGATCTAGTTCTGCACCAGTAAAAGGATGTTCAACGTGAGAGGACTCAGAGATGTTTTGAGTGTGTGTGGAAGAGACAATGTTTGTTATTTCTTGGACGCCTTCTTCTTTAAAGGATCGGAATATTTAACTCCAAATATAGGCAGAACTTTGAAATGACTCTTAACATAAGTTTAAGTATAAGTTCGATATGCACACTGTACATGTAATGAGCTAACACCTTGCTGGAGTTTTACTTTTATCTTTTGGCTGTCCTCCAGTGCAGACATGAAACGCTTCATCCATTATCTATATCACTTCATTCTTTGCCAATCCCAGGCGACATTGAGCGAGAGCCGGGGAACATCCTGGACAGGCAGTCAGTCCATCAGAGGCAAGACATATAGAGACAAACAACCATCCATGCACATTCAGAACTATGTCCAATACTCCAGTTATCCTAGGCTGCATGTCTTTGGACTGTGGGAGGAAGCCGGAGTACCCAGAGGAAACACACGCCGACATGGAAAGAACATGCAAACTCCACAGAGAAAGGGCCCTGGTCAGACAGTTCAATCCCAGAACTTTCTTGCTATGAGGTGACAGTGCCAACCACTCTTCCACTGTGCCACCAATGTGAAATCTGGCAGTGACACATTAAGATTTACCGGTATGATTTCACAGATGCTTACCTATTCATGTCCTCCTGAATGTACAGAGAGAGCAGCTGTCTGGGGATGCTAAAGGACAACGTGCACTCCTCCATTTGTTCCCGCACCAGCATCCACTTGCTGTCCATTGTTTGAAATCTGTATACTTTGCATACTGGGTTCTTGAACACTGGGGGAGGGACACAAAGGGAGAGAAGAAAGATGCAGTGAATCATCGGACACAGAATGAAAAAGCATCACGTTCTCTTAAATCTTTCAATTTCACAAAAGGGAGACATAAGATCTAAAACAGCTTTGATGGCTGGCAACCTCAAGGACGCAAAAGACTGACTGTCTTCAAAAGTCACATGAGGTATGAAGCACAAATTAAATTCTATAATCAATAACTGTGTCTGCCATAGATAAGGTGCTTCTCATCTTCTCTCTTTCAGCTCCAGTGGCAACACAACTGACAAGCAGACTGAAATACACAAACCCTGTCCTGTTAATATTTGCCTTATTATTTCCTCTATTTCCATTTTAATTGCTTGTTTATTGAACAGCGAGGCACAGACAGTTGCATCATTTTGAAACTTTGCTCGCTAACCCCACCATCCAACTTGTCTCTTAGACCCAATTCAAATTCAGCCCCATCTTCCTCATTTTTGCAGAGAGTGGCTAATAGCAGCAATCGAAGGCTGGAAATGAAAAACAGCTCTAATGCTCTTATCTGCATGCTGGCAGCAGAGGGCAAGAAAGCTGTGCGCCTTGAACACTGTTTATTACTCCTTTTCGTCTGCAGAGCTGCAGTCAGAAAGGAAGTCACTCAATAAGTCGGAGCTGAAGCACCCTGCAGCTGAAACACTGACAATCTCGCTCTGGGCGGCCAAACATGCATGGTACCAACAAAATGCTTTTTCTTGAAATCAGAAGAGGGAGCCGCACTTCTGCTTCCTCGAACAGCACAGAGAATGCTCCCTTTACCAAAAACTCTACTGCACCGCTCCCTGATCTGGCTGCACATTGTCCTTTTTTTCATGTCACCCGTCTAAGGGTTTAAATCATTAATCTTGCTGATGCTACGTCATTTGTCCTTGAGTGTTACAGTGCAGCGCTGCCTGCAAACGCAGATGGATTTAAGGAGGTGCCCTACAATCGAATTTTTTAAGTAGTAAGAGGATGTTACATTGGATGCAGAATCATGAAGTGTGTTAGCAGGTTGATTTTAACAATTGCTTCCAATGTGTGCACTTGTTTAACAGTGAATTTCTGGGCCACCACTTGAATTCAAAACAATAAAGTAGTTTATTAAATGTCAAAAAATGATGCCAAGACAATGAAATGACAAAGTGAAGTGCTTTTCATGGATTTGCAATGTGAAAATAATTTCACTAATATAAGTTATATAATGTTTTCAGATTGTTATCAGCTATAAATCCTAGGAAATATAACAATAAAATGATTCTTATAAGATTTTATATGCATCCACACCCTGATATACAATACATCATTCCTCAATGACGTAGATCTTCATTGTTATATTGTTATATTACAATACTGAGCAAAGTTACTGCAAACAACACATTATTACTATGAACATTACCACTGTAGTTAATTTCAAGTTGACTTTTTAGCTACGGGAAAATACTATACATGTATTCATTTGTGGATGAAAATGCTGCCAAACAAATGCACTGTTCACTCCTGGTAGAGTGTTGTTAGCGGAAAACTACAGTGCTCAGCTGTTTTAGGAAATGACTGAGGCCTCCGAAAAATAGCTGTCTATCTGTGATCTACATGAAGGTTTTCTATCCTCAGAAGGCATTAAGCTAACTGCCATATACAGGAAAATGGACTGAATTAGGAATTTGATCAGTGACTAAGAAAAATATATTACAGTGGTGTCCTTAAGCTTCTTAAGTATCCACTTAACCACCCTGACCACCTTAAAACGATGCAACATCTGCTATGAAGCTTTATTTGAAGCATCTAAAGTCACTACATCACCACTGTGATCACACCGATCACTGTTTATAACTTTATTTACTCACGAATACTGCTCAAACAGACAGACAGTCGACATCCTCTAAAGGACAATAACTGTGAGTCTCATAAGCTGCAGTGAGGTTTATTGTTTTTCAAACGATGCTCCAGTTGATGTTGAAATTAATGATAATTAAGGTTGAGGAATAATGACCCCGGAAAAGATTTAAATTGCATCTAAATGAAATTGGATACTCAGACAATGTTTTCATGGGGATCAGAGTGAGAGGAAATGGATGGCAAAAATAAACGTGGAGCAGGGGACACATGGAGGGGGGGGGGGTAAAAGCACAGCTTTAATCGGAAGAGCGACAGTAGCTGAGTTCCACCTCTGTCAGAGAAGTGGATTAACCCCTGAACTTCCCCCTGCCACCAAACTAATCTGACCACCAATCAGACGCTTCTGTTTCCCTTCCTGACACCTCTTAAGAAAATGACTTCCCGAGACATGCTGTGCGTGGGCTCCCCCATCTCCCCGCTCACTGTATGCTCATTTTGAAAGGTAATAAAAGTGGAAGACTAAATTACATTACTCAATCTGGCGGGGTCTGCTGGGAGGGTTTTGTTTTGACAGGCTGCAGATGTGCACCTGCAAACATGGCTGCAGCTCACAAGCTAATCACAGAAGAAACAGTAAGCGACAATGACACCATGACAACGGGCGTGGGGTTACTGGGGGGCTCGGGAGGTGGTGGGGTACTGGATAAAAGAGAAAATGGATGTGTGGAACAAATTAATGCACAGGATGAAAAAAGGAAGCTAGTTTCACAAGTCTCCTGTGAACAAGGGCTGTGAGGTTTGAACACAGCAGGAGTCGTGACCTTTTCAAGTCTTTCCAGTTCGTGTCTACATGTCTTTCATTTTCTCTCCATAATTCTCTACAAGAGAGAAGGCTACAATTCTGTGCTGCCACAAAATTAGTCTGATGCAGCTTGATTGGCATAATTTGCTTTTCAGTTAGTTCAGTCATTCCACAAATAACCAAGTGGGATTTTTAAAATTAAGTGACTTTTGAATGAAGGAAGATGTTACAGGATATTATCTACCACAATTCTCCATCACAATCGAGATAAATTGATTATTTCTAGCTTTTATTTAAAACCATCACAGGGTGAGTTCTTGCTTATTTCCCCCCAAAAAACATATCTGTTAATTGTCATGTTATTCAGCAATGAATGTTGATATTAGAGTGAATCATACCTGGTCCTGTAAGTGGGTTATTTTCTCTGTCGACGCAGGCATGGGATGCAGAATCACAAACCAAGGGACACTGGAAAGGAAAAGAACAAAAGGAGAAACACAGGGAGAGAATATTACTCAACATCAAGCAGAAACGGTGCAGTACAAGTATTTTTCTAAGGAGCTTACTTGGTTTAATGCTGATTATTATGTATGAGGTACAATGGAGATGATCATACCCATATGCAAGTGCAGCCTGACACCATATCACATGTGACAGACACTTCAGTTTCGTTGGGTTAGAAAATCCCTCGTTAGCCTTGTCTGTTAAAGCGAAGCGGCGCTGTAGTCAGCAGCTCCCGTAGGTATTGTGTTAAATTTAGCTGGATTGATCCAAGCTGTGCAACAAACTTCAGTGGTCCAGATTTTTATTCTTATGATATATTACAAACACTTGCATTAGTACAGTATAACAGATTTTTAAAAAACGGAACCACAGAATATTATGCCTGAATGGTCTAGTGTAAATGTAATCAATATTTTGTTGGCTTTAGGTTTTCATTGGTTTGATTTGAGTTTGACTTACTACAGTGACGTAATTTCTAAAAACACAGACTGTTGGATATAAATAGTAGCTTCTGTCTAAGCTGGATGCACATTGCAAAAGACTAAACCCTTATAACCATGGGAGCAGATAACTGCTGTTTCAATCTTCAAAGAATTTCAGTTTTCACCGCAATCAGTGTTGTCACAGTAGGTGACAGCTGGAGGAAAACGTCTGCTGTGACTTCACTGATTGGGTGGTGGGTTGGTGATTTATAACCTTAACTGTCATTTCAGTCTTTCTACATTCACAATCCTGCAACTTCCTGTCTTGATGGTTAGTTTCAATTGCTATGCATTGGCATTCAGTTAATGACACTAAGCTTCAAAACAAAAAAGACGATAAAACAATCAAAAGTAATCAGTGCCTCAATTATCCAAAATCTGTTTCCCCTTTTGTAAAGGAGACATATAATGAATGCTGATATTCAGGATCATAATTTTAATTTCAGTTATTACCAGAAAAGGTTTAAATGCTTTAATGTTTAGGAACATCACTGTCTTCATTCTGTCCACTGCTGCAGCTCCTCTGTCTGAAACACTTGCTTATCGTTCTGTCTGTTTAAGGCCCCCATGCTCAGTCTGCTCTGATTGAACAGCTGTGATTGGTCCACCTCTTCCAGCCCATGTAGGAAATGTCGGTCTCCACTCTTACTTCACCTGGCTTTGTTAGGGGGTGTGGCAGACTAACCACTAGGTGTACATAATGCAAATATGTTATCATGTGACATCACGATGCCCCAGAAGTATCGACCGGAATTCTTACAATTTGCAGTGTTTTCTGTTTTTATACATCAATAACCTATTTGAGAAACTAGAGGAAAGAAAACCTGAAAAAGCATTTGGCTGCTATAAATTATATTTAAAATGTACAAATGAGCCACATATGACTGTTGTTATTGTAAACAGCACCTATGCAGTGGCAGATGTTCCTTTTAAACAGAGGTAGATATAAGCAGACTTCTCTACGAAATATTTTCCCCCTGAAATAACTGTCACCAGCAGATTTCATCAGCAGTAACCGGCTAAGTAAGATAATATTAGCTTCAGTTTGACTTTTTAATGCTTTCAGCAGGCTTGTTTTAAAATATGAATGTTTTAATTATGCACTAGATGGCTACGTCTATGATACTGCATCAAAAGAAATTGAGACTAAAGCTGCATGTTAGAAGACACAGTAATAACGAAACAGCAAAATTCTTGTACTGTGTCCTTTTAGTCAAGTAAGTGTCCCCAGAAATGATTTTAATAACTGCACAGCTATACTCACACGCAAAGTCAAAACAAAATGTGACCATTAAACAGAACAAACAGACACTATAGCATCGGGACATTTACGTAAGGTCTGTGATAATGAAGAGTTTGAACAATGAGCCAAGGGCCACAGCTGTGAAAGGAGTCCCATTTTAATTGCAGGCGGTGGACAGCATGTGTCCGATGGCTCTTTGATGACTCAAATATGTAAAGAGATCAGATCAAAGGTGACTGGAGTCTCTTTCTTCTTTCAGCTGACTGTTTTTGCAGGGGTCAGTGGGATATTCATGAGCAGCAGTCACGCAAACAATGACAGTGAATGATGAAACAAGTGCCTCCTACCCCCCCCATCGACCAACAGACACACACGCCCACAGTATGTTCAGACAGCCAGACGCACACACGACGAATGTCAACTGAACAAGAACTTCCCCACAAGTGCGTCCTGCGTCCCAAGTCAGCCCTCCCTACTATTTGTCATATTCCTTCCCTCTTTCCTCCCCTCATCTTCCACAACAGAGACACTGCACACAAGGGGAAATGTGCTGTGACAACGCACACACAAACACACACACATGGACATGCACACATACATACACACACAAGGCAACACATTTATCAAGGCGACATGGGCAGATTGTCGGTGACACTCTGGAGCCTAGCAGGGACCCTCCCTGCACCAGCAAAAGGGGTGGGCAGAACTGAAAGCCAGTCAGCCATGTAGGAGCTGTTGGTCAATTATATAAGACAGTGATTCACACACACATACACACAATCACACACACACAAAAGAGCAAATCAACAGTAGGCAAGGACTGCAAATCTCCATGATGCCTTGCAGTTGCCACGGTGAAGAAAATCAGAACCTTCCTCCTTTACAGATCAAAAACATTATAATAGCTCCATCTTTACTTTTTATAACTTTACCACTGGCTCCACAGCTCACATTCGCCTGACAAATGTTTCAACAAATCTGTCTCCATTAGTATCATAAAGGAAGTGGAGAGAAATCAGACTACGTACGACTTCATTTCTGGTGTGGTGGCATCCCATTCGGCTCACACAGTCCTCAGTTTACTGTCAGGCTCTGGAGGAGAACACTCTTTGTTCCTATTTTCGCTCGCCTGATTATGTGAGTTACTATAGAGCCGAGCTGAGCGGTATGTATTGTGTGAGATTAGAGTGGAGAAGGAGAGGGAGCGAGGCAGCAACTGGCAGCAACGTCCAACAAATACCTGGTCAAATGAATTACAAAAAATCTAACACGGACAGTTAAGTTTGTCAGAAAGGTAATTTGGTCAGACCTGGCTTTAATCCTGTCAACATATGAGAGCAAGACAACACAAATGTACTCACAGAGAGAGACATTACAAGGCACACACATGCTGTAAATCCTCATTAGGGTTTACTGTCGTTTATTTAATCTCATTGGAGGACTTGAGCAGTGCCTGTCTAATCCCAGCATTAGCACAAGGCTTCTGGAGCATGGAGGCTCTAGCTTTGTCTAGTCACCCTGGTGCTTTACCTTCTGTGGTGGAATGTCAGAGGTGATATGGTCCACATCAACCTCCTCCATCTCCCCCATCTTCAGACGACTCACCAACACTGTTCCTGCTGCACACACACCATCAGATGACCTAAAGGAGAGAGGGAAAAAGAACCATTCAGCATTAACCTCTTAATCTCTTGAATAAAAAAAAGCCTGCTCACTTAAATGATCTTTTCCTCTGGCTACTGCCCCTCAATGGGCCTCGGATAATTTCCAGCCTCGGGCAGATTGTGAAATTATACAGTTGAAAACAAAGTGAAATTGGGACATACACATTAGCGCTGTGGTGATTTTGTTTCCTGACAGGTTTTGCAGAAGAGTCTGCATGCAGATTAAAGCTGAGCCTGCGCCGATGGTAGATTGATGGAGGTGACGGAAGGAACATTTCGTGAAACTGTTCAAATGGCCATCTAATAAACCAGGCTGTGGGCCCTGACAGACACAGAATTTATACTAGAGTTTTCATATCAGGAAGCCAGACCAATCACTTTCCAAATCATGGAGCCATGATTAAGGAGGTGATAGGAAATCTATAGTATTGGCAGCAAGACAGACACTCCCGAATGAAGAAAAATGGTCCCTGGGCAACGTGCGAGCAAGTCTGATCACCTTAACAGACCCATCCCTAATGTGCTCAGTTCCACTCCAGCTGGAGAAAATATTGGATGTTGTGTGGCAGCTAATGGTCTGGAGAGAGGGGGGAAGGATGACACACCCCTGCCCGAGGCGGAGAGAACGCAAAGATTGTGATGGAAGCAGAAAGGACGCCATCAAGACCAATCCATCTTTGTTGGACACTAGGAAGTAAATCTACCCAAGGGAAAAACAGAGAAGGAGACCTGGTGAGTAGAGGAAGGAGAGAAGGTGAGGAAATACAGGAGGGAGATGGAAGGAAAAGTGTGTTTCTGGTGGGACGCTGGGAGATTCAGTTAGCGCTTAATGTCTTGCAGGAGTCCCCAAGCAGACAAAATATCATTGGTTGGTTTATAAATCTAATCATTGTCCCTTGCCAGAAACCTGTCTCAGTGTTTACTCCTCCGCTCATTTTCCTGTCCCCCCCCTCATTCCTCACCCTCGTCATCTGTCTCCCCCTCTGTTTCTCTGTGCAACAGAAGACTGGAGCTTGCTAAAAGAAAGTCACCCTGACTTTGAAGAATCAGAATGTACTGACAGTGGACCACAAATAATCGAGGAAATGGAGATTAACATGCATCACATTCAGCGATAGTCCTCCCAAGGCAAACCTTAGGGGTTAGAGCGGCCCTATACTCTTCAGATTGCTCTGCCTCAATCCACTAATGAAATCCTGCAGTTAAACAGACAGAGGAGATGTTTTTAGCGACTGCTTTAAGATAATTGATTTATTCCTCAGAGAAAAATATTGTCATTTCTTTCATATTTGTGGCCAAATCTAAACTCAGCACTTATTCAAATACAATCTGAATGTATTATTGTTTGTGAGGAACTCGTCTCCAGGAAGGAGGAAGAGATGATTTGATTTGGCTGTGTCACCACAGTGATGGTTTACTGCACAGATTCTGCTGAAAAGCAAAAGCAAAGAAAGTGACAGACCTTAAGAAAGTCTGACACAATTCTTTAGTCTTCAGGCTGAACACAAACTGACCTCGAATTAACTTTGACGGTTTTGATGAGAGCTGTGGATGAAAATGAAGCTTGTCGTCTCCTCCCCTCCCACATCCCATCCCTCTCTCTTTCCGTCTGCTGCAGTTGGCAAGGAAACAAATCTGCAGATTGTTCTGTGCCTGCGAGCCCATCTTTTTAAAAATCTAATTGGCCTGGGATCTCTTCTATGACAACACCTAATCTGACAGCTTTGTTAAAGTGACAAAAATAATGTGCTTAAAATGTCTGCTGTGAATTTGGCACAATTCAAAAAACAATTAGTTATTAAGGAAGTGACTTAGACTCTCATTTATAAAGACATTCTCTGACATATGGAGATACAGAGCAATTTGTTTCAAAAAACAATCTGCACCCCGCTGGTTTGAGAGGTGTTTGATGTATGAACCATGCAGTGGGGTCCAAGAGGCAAAGGGAAACTTATGCAAATATATATTTTTTGAAAATGTCTAATTCTACATTTACTTCTAGTAAATAACAACTGAAATAACCATATTTTCTCTTTGCAGACATATTCATACAAAATGTCCACTAATGATCCAAAAATAATTATTTCTATCAATGGTCAATTATCTTCACCGTAGAAGCTGCTAACACTTTACCGTTTTGCTAGAAAAGCTAGAATGCTCAATAAATAATGACTGCAGATTGACTGACATTAAGTGCAGTGACATTTTGCACAACGTGCTACATTTCAGTTTTTGATCTGAAGAAATCTGACAGCCTGTACATGAGAATGAATGTGTTTGGGAAACAGATTTCAGCTTTATTGTGAACATGTTAAACCTGTACAATCTCCTGCTGTGTTCTTCATAGAATAACGGCAAACTCCGGAGAATAGCCGCGCAAATGGCTTTGGTCATTTCATGTGGTTAATGTCTGGAAAGGACTTCATTTGGCTCTACTGTCACAAACTGGTCTGCCTCAATACTCCTGCCGGCAACATCGCTCTCAGATTCCTCAGTCTCCTCTGTCCCCACAGTGGAAGTGGTTAAGGTGATATCTGTGATCGTATAATAATAACAATGCTGTGGGGAGTAAAGTTAGATGGCCAAAGTCAGACAACTAGAGGACTCAAAGTGGCAAAGAAAATGGCCTCTTTCTGCTGCCTGGCTGCCTGTCAAAAGAAGGAGAGATTTTCAGAGTAATGCCAAGCGAAGGGCAATTCATACCTTTTCAAAAGGTGTGAATCTAAAAGCCTGTGGGTGGGGAAAGTTCATCAAAAAATTTCAAAGGAGCAATACCTCTGTGGTCGACAGGTGCTTTTCTCTGCGGGAGACCTCACAGATGACAGCCACAGCAAAGATGCAAAACACCACTGGCTTTTCCCCTCACAAGGGCTTTAGCTTCAACTGTAGCAAACTACAAAATTCACAGCAGGGAACCGGAAAAATACTATTTCGATTTTTGCTCTGCATTTTTCCCACAGAAAATACAGCGGTTTATTTTATATTATCAACTTTAAGCTCTGCATTGTCTGTGGAATGGGAGTGTTCAGAGAAAAGTAATTGCCAGGGTCCTACACAGGCAATAAGAATGCGACAGCCTTGAAGTATAGCAGTGAAAGTGTAGATGGGATTCTTGACCTATATAAAGCTGGACGGCTGAGCTAAATATAGAGCTGGCTACTTTTCACTGAGGACAGATGTTAGGACACGGGACTGTAATAATGGACAACGCCAGCTGTCCAAGTGAAACTGCAGGTCCATATTTTCACTGGGGATTAATTACAATAATCATGTGACTCAGCAGTAATTGCACTTTTTGCCAGTGGAGGACTGAGTCAATCATTAAGACTACACTGCAGTCACTGTTCATAGAGCCGGGCCAGAATCACCAGGGGACCTTACACTCAGCACACTCTCCTGCTTGTCTGGACCACTTGAAGTATATTCTGCCCTGGTTCTCCCTTGATGAAGGAGACTTGCAGGAAACATATATATTCAGAATCTGAAACAAATACATAATAACCTGTGTATCGTTTAGTAAAATAATATCTGGTTTGTATTAAAACAAAGCTTGTGGCATACTCAGAAGGTTTTATGCTTGAAAGGTCGAACAAGCATCAGATTTTCAATCAAATCAAGCTGATTTAACCAAAACAAACCTGTGAGATCAAGCTCTACATGCAAATGTATGCACCCTGGACGACACACTGGTCGTCAGTGCATCACAGGCCAACACATAAAGACAAACCTTAAACACTCACTCACAACCCCTCATTCTTAACAGACACACATCATCCACATCCACTTCCAACATGCTTCATACAACAGTTTTTATTGTTACAGCAGCACAATTCAATACACAGTGTTTTCTATATGTGTACAGTGGGAGAGAGGGTGACCGGCGTATACCTGTTCTCAAGATCTCTGACAACGAAGGTGGCTGGCATACATGCAATGTGAAGTCCTTGAAAAGCTGAATGCAGATCGATGACAATTGAATGAGGGAGGGTGGAGGCAACGGTTGAGTGGAAGAGGGCAGGTGGGGCAGTGACACGGAGCGTATTGTATGATGACCTTCATCACCACTTACTCAATTAATACTACATTATCAACACTTCAGTGGTACCGGGTCAAACCAATCCAGCATACAACACAACAAAAACCCTTCACACACATAAATACGATTCTGCAAAACTGAGGGGAGAGTCAAAGCGTCTTTTTAAGAGCAATGACTCTGAAAAAAGCAGAGAGAGCAGATGCCCTCACAGACAGTCACCGAGGCATCATAATTATTTTCCAACAAACTGTAAAAAGGCTGACAAAAGTCTGCCATCATCTGTGTCAAACAGATGGTTTTAGTCCTGGAACTGCTCTTGAAAAAGAAGCCAACCAACACTTAGTAGACTGCATTCTGACAGGCGTGCACTTACTGGAGGATGGGCGCTATGGTTTATGTTTGCTTTTCTCCGAGAGACGCAGTGAGCAGCGACTGAATGAGGAAACTATGAAGAAATTAAATGCTAATGCTTAAATATCCTGGAAAATACTCTCATTGGATTTCTTGCTTAGAGATTTAAAGATTGATGCCATTCTTATACCCACAGGATACATTGATATAGTGAAATCTTGTCTCTGTCCTCAGGCAATTGTTCTAACCATTTTTTTATGTTTACTGTATTTTCACAACTTTGATAATTCATTGAGCTGAAGTAAAACCATCTAACTTACGATTTAAATTAAGATTCTAAGTATATATATTTTGGATGCATCAGTGGATCTCTTATCCGTTATGATTATTCAGATGATGACCAGAGGGAAGGAGGAGGACTGAAACCTCATATTGTCTAACACAGACTTTGACATCACGTTACACTAAAAACATTTTTGTTTGTTTGCTTCAAGTGAAAATAAATCAGCCAAATGATGAAAACGGCATCAGCAACTGAAGGGTTTTCAAATGGACTGCTGAAAGTGTGAGTCAAGAAGCTGAACCCTTTAA